GATATTCTTTCAAGTTGTTGACAAAAAATTTAAAAACTCATGTCGGTAATGGAGGAAATGAAATATGCAGCACTTTTTGGGCAATAAATACGAACAGCGATAACTAGCGGTTCTTATGGAGTAAGAAAGCTGTCAAAAATATTTGTGCGCATAAAATAGAAATCCGTGCATATTTGGGAAATCCATGCATATTTGGCTGTAGTTGCGCATAAAATAAATATTTGTAAACTCTCAAATGAGTCCAGTCGTACATAAAATATATTGTGTGTATTTTATCCATCAGAATACGAATTGAAAAATTACGACATCATGAATTACAATCACGAAATGAAAATTTCCGATTACGCTTTCATCAGTACGAATCCGAATTCACAGACGGAACTTTACTGTCAAAAATACGTCATCACTTCACAGACATTATTCATCGAGCAGAAGAAACATCGATCAAGATCAAGACTGCGCATGCTCAAGTATGTAGCAGAGGGTAAAAACAGAGTAATAGCACAAGAAGCTACAACAGCGACCAACAAGTGGGTTAATTAAAATCTATTGTAAAAATGTCTTGAATTCGGGAACCGAACGCTGCTGTATAATATTGTGTAGAAACACCTCCTTTGAACGGGAAATTGCACCTATATGTTAGATAACATAGTGGTAGCCAATTGGCTAACATCCGACGTAACGTTATCCCAGGGCTAATTAGCAAATATCAGGTTCTCTGTATGTTTAGATTAAAACATTCACGACTACAGCCACAGCGAGCATCAGCCAGTCTTCATCTCAGCTGCATTTCAGACAATGGGTTTTTCATGAGTTATAATGGGTTATAATGAGCAAATCCATCCACGTCACGGTGACGTTATACTTACATATACATCAGTTTATTTACATGATTTGCAGGTCTTTGAAATTTGGGAAATAATTTTTGTTCCATGTTGCATACATGGTATGTTTAAAACATATGTAACTTCAGAACCAAAAATGGTACAGAAAAAAGGTAAACAGTTTCATAAACTAGAGTACTATGTGCTATCTGTTGAATACATCTTTGTATCAGATGCATTAACTTGAATTTTTGGCCTTGCTGTATACTTCTGCTTGACCGGGCCCATAAACATTGTTTGAGTGGTCAGACCCACTGACTCACAGGCTGGTGGTGCGATTCCAGCTGCCACAAATGAATGCTGTCATTGTGTCCTTGGACAAGACACTTAACCCACCTTGCCCCCAGTGTCTGTGTACACTGGTGTATTAGTATGAATATGTGTGTGTGAATGGGTGAGTGGTTCCTTAATGTAAAGTGCTTTGAGTGCCTTGAAAATGGAAAAGCTCTGCATAAAAATGTGACCATTTGCCATTTAAACATGGTAATATGTTGTTTTCAGAGCATTTTCAAAACTATAAAAGTGTAATACCCCCTCTTTAAAATTATGTCTAATAAATCCAGTTGTTCCCATTTCTATACCAGAGTAAACCAGCTCCAAAGATGACTTAATCAAATGAAAGCCATATTTGTCAAATTATTTATCAGACTGAAGTGGACAGACAATTAGGCTCTAAAGAATCACGTTTTTAAACTACATTGTCCCGGTGAGAGCAGAGCAGTCCTCCTCTCTGTCCCTGTGGCGATTGCATGTGGACAGATTAAGGATCGTTCAGACACAGATAGCTTATTGACATTGACCCTGAAGAGGATCAGAGCTTAAGGTTTAATCTGAGCGGTGTTTACTGATCCAAATGAAAACTACAGCAGAGAGCCAAGGACGGCAGAGAAGAACAGAGAGGAGATGGGGGGGACACCTCAGCTAAAATCCTTTAGCTAAGGTAGTCCTGATGAGGACTGCACAATTTTGGATAAATATCCACTAATATCCACTAATGATTTTTCTGACAAGGAATGCAATTATGATTCGATACTTAGGTATAGATAGCAAGATTCTGATTAAAATTCATATTTTAAAGACATTTAAGAAAAGACTGAAATATGAACTAGTGAACAAACACAATAATCACATGCATTTCAGAATATGCTTGTAGAGATCTAAACTACAGGGTTAGCAGTTTCTTTAAGATTAGGGTCATTAGGATTAGGATAATTTTTTGTTTGCAGAAGAAATGATACTAGTTAAATAACTGCAGTCTTTGTGACCATCCAACCATGTAACTTTTTGACTTTTTCATGCTTGTCTCCATGAACATGTTGTCTGCTTTGCCTGTACTGTTTCACAGTTGCCATTAAATTGGTCTGTCTCCATGGAGACAAGCAGGTAGCACCACCTGGACAAAATACCAGTCAGATCTGTAGAGAGATGACCCACACACAGTAAGAATGCACATAGTTTAAAACATTTTTATAGCAATGAAAACACCTAAAATGTATTAAATGCAAGAAAGTAAAGAAAATAGAAACATCTACATGGAAACAAGCAAGCAAGTGGCAAACCCCCACCAGAAGTTACATAGTGCACCTTAACTAGACTACCTAGACTAGACATATACTTACAGACACTGAAATCTGTCATGTATAAAGTCACATTATAAAAAAAAGGAGGGTATAAAACTGTCATTAAACTTTGCCCTTAATCTCCATCTGTTTGTATCACATTAACACGTGACAATCAGCTGGGCTCAGACAGACACGACAGACAAGCCAGATTAGAACATCTGCATGATTATAAAAAGTAGGGTTGCACAATTTTGAAAGAAAAGAAACAATTGCGATTTTTCTAACAGGTACTCTGCAATTGAGATCAGATGTGATATGTTTAAAAAGTAGGATTGTGTTGTGAGTGCACACTGTAAACACTCCATTAACATTTGAGATAAGACTGAAATATGAACTGATGAACTAACACAAGAATAAGAGATGGTAAATATGGTAAGGTACGCTTTATTGTCCTCATAGGAAAAAGCCATACTTCCTATGATATGTTTGAAGAGGTCTAAACAGGTACAAGATTACAGGATATGTTCTTAGAAAATTACATTCTAACTATCTATCTCTGTAAATAACTGCTGCCTTTGCGATTTGACAATTGTACCATCTTAAATTGAGATGTGAAATACTGCGCAGCCCTTATAAAAACAATTTTAAAAGTCACATAGGTTTCAGTAAAATTCCATAAGTAATCAGATTTTGTCTAGACACTACAGTGCATTTTTCCAGATCAAACATACCAGTATTATCTATGAATACTATTTCTCTACGTAAATGTAAATAAATGTGATAAAGTTTTGACTTTTTTTATTTAGACAGTAAATTAACCTTGCTTAAGTATAAAATAGATGAAATATGTCCCTTCTCTGTGTGTGCAGGAGCTTATGCGGCTCGCTCACATGCCTCTGTCTCTGTGGAGATTATAAATAGCAAATCAAAAAGTTTGTTTCCATAGAGACTGTGGGAGTCCATTATGGAAAGAGTCTCCAAGACAACCAGGACTGAACCAGGTTTGAACCAGGTCTGAACCAGGTCTGAACCAGGTCTGAAATAAGACTGGACCAGAACTGAACCAGGACTGAACCAGGACTAATCCAAGACTAATCCAGACTAAACCAGGTCTGAACAGGACTGAAACTGGGACTAAACCAAGACTAAACCAGGTCTGAACCAGGACTGAACCAGGACTGAACCAGGACTGAACCAAGACTGAACCAGGTCTGAACCTGGACTGAACCAGGACTAAATCAAGAATAAAGAGGATCTAAGTAGAAGAAAAATGTAAGCAAAACTAGGTACATCTAACAAAGTGAAAATAATGGACTAAACCAGTAACAGTAGTCCTACACACTACCTCCTTTCTGAGAGGAGACAGGATAACCACATGTCTGTACCTGCACTTTGCCTATGGTGTCTTAAGTAAATGAATTAAAAGGTTGTACAAACTTCACCTTAAACTAAACCTAAGTCTATCAAAATAATCCTGGACTAACAAGGATGTGCGTGACTCCTTAGATAAACATCTAGTCTTCCAAGTTACTCCCACCTTTAAACAACAGTGGAAAATAATACAAGGAAAATGGAAAATGACATTTTCAACTTTGGGACAACCTGTACCAAAAACAAAATAGTTTGTAGTAGTAGTAGTTGTTGTAATAGAAGTAGCAGAAGTAGTAGCAGTAGCAGTAGCAGTACTAGTTGCAGTAGTAGTAGTAGTAGTAGTAGTAGTAGTAGTAGTAGTAGTAGTAGTAGTAGTAGTAGTAGTTGTTGTTGTTGTAGTAGCTGTCTCGCTCTGTTAAGCTAATAAGAATAAATAGTTAAACCTAAAATATAAGTCTACCTAAAGCTGTACTTAAATAATCTTTTAATTTGAGCCCAGTGTCAATAAATAGCTCACCACAAGCTTAGTAAAAATACAACCATGTCTCTATAAGCAAATTGAACAAAAGGGGAGGGCTGTAACAGCATTTAGAATTTTTGAGAACTGTCATTTCTGATGTATTGCCAAAATACTGTCTGAAGACCATCAACCTCACCAAACTGCAATATTATTTTTTTGTCAATATTACTCTCTCATCCTGAAAAAAAAGTTCCAGACACCAGACGCTGTACCTGATTTTTACCATCTTAAAAACTGAGAACTAACTAGAACTAAGAACTAACGAGAACTAATTCATTTTAAACAGAACTAATTCATTTTAAACAGTTTGTAAACTTATTCCTCACTTACCTTATGCATTCTGAACATCCTAATTATTCACGGTGATGAGTTCATAAGCGCTTTTCACAAAGCTCGGAGGAGAGAGTGGAAATTTGCCAACAACAACTAGTATGCTAACCACACCTAATTCTGAACAATAAATATTTTAAAAATTTGATGCAGACAGCACATTGACATATTTTGACCTCAAGATTATACAATATCTATTTTGTTGTAAGACAAACTTTTCTTAAATACACGGAAAGGAGCCTTTCAGGGCCTTCAATTATCAGACAGACTACAAAGCAATTAATTTGCTCCTGATAATTTGGTATCAGTAGTACATATAGTAAATGGACTTACGTTCCCAGTACTTCCTTAAAATCGTATTTCTCCTTCACATCTGATTTTTTCTTCCAAGAATGTTGCTCTCCCAGCGGCATCTTCTTGTGGTTCCGATCACAAATGATACTGCAAAGAAAAAACAAACAAAATCAAACCTAATATTTTGTCTAATTATGCAGTTTTCAGGGTTTTTGGACCATTATTGGACACCTTGGGTTTGAGATTTGAAGTTCTAAGAATAATAAAAAATTTTTAAAGGTTAGGTTTTTTTTAGTAATAAATAAAAAGTCATGAAATCTCTTTTCTTAGCACATGGCATAATGGTGAACAGTCAAGTTAACAAGGACTTCAATAATCCATTTTTTTAAATTCACTGATTAATTGGTTTCAGCTCTGATACAGTCAATGACGCTGAACTTTACAAACATGCAAGAACACTTCTAGATTGTGGGTGAGCATATTGAGTCCTCAAGTGTAATTATGCAGATTATTTATGATTGAAACAAAATGTGTCATATTTTTAATTAGGAAATGACAATAGGCAATTAAGATTTCAAAAGAAAAACAGAATAAATCATTAAAATGCATATGTATGCAAGCAGTTATATAGCACTTTTCAACCACTTCATCACACTATTTTGTTGTAACTTTATAATGACAAGTTAGCAGGAGGAAACTAAGAATAAGAATAGAAACTAAAAATAAATGATTAATATGTAAAATATATATTTAACATACTTTTCATTCTGTTTGAAATTCTTCCTGTAATTTCATAGCGTAGTAAACCATGTGGACCTCACCTATGCACATTTACAGTTTATTATGCCAAGGGCGAAATGCCACGCGCAAGTTAATTATTAAACCAGATTTTATGAGGAAAACTTAGGAGCTTTTATGCCAGTGCTTCTCAAATGTTATCTATAGAGTTTGAGAGTGGACTCCATTTGACCTGGTTTGGACGTATCCAAGCCTGGTTTTGTTAAGTTCTGGTTTAGTCTTGGTCTGCTGCTTTGAGACAAACAATACACATGCCATAACTATAGCTTCAAAAGAGTCTATAGAATTTATAACTATGTTTGTAGTAAGCATAATAAGGTTTCATTTAGAAAACAAAAACAAAATGAAGAACAGTATAATACTTCTTGTTAAACAATATATTATGTAAATGTGTGTCCACACAGCTCCACACTGTGAGACAATACACTGTTCAGGGAATAACTACTATCTTATCTACTATAGATAACATTTGTAATAACTATGCTGTGTACATAAACCTTATATACTGCTGATTTAATGGTCAAATGGAAGCCTTTGTTTTGTCCTTGTTAAAGTAACATTCAAATATTAGTTTTACAGTGGTATGTTTTAACCCCACTCCCCTGTTTTTACAAAGTTCCTCTGGCTTGGAGCAGGAGACACAAATAGCTGTTGGTATCAGCTCTGCTCCTGTCACTACTGCAGACTGGAAACTACTGAGATAAAGTACTACACTACAGTCATCTGCAATGAGCCTAATGGAGATTTTGCATGTAAAAATCGACATTGTCAACGTCAGCAGAATTGACTAAATTATTACCTCCGCCAAGGAGGTTATGTTTTTGCCGGCGTTTGTCTGTTTGTTTGTTTGTTTGTTTGTCTGTTAGCAACATAACTCAAAAAGTTATGGACCGATTTTGATGCAATTTTCAGGATTTGTTGGAAATGAGAAAAGGAAGAACTGATTTCATTTTGGGGGTGATCCGGAAGAAATCCTGGATTCTGGATCACTTTGAAATTTTAGTTAACATTGTGGTAAATGGGGCCAAACATTTTGTTTCTCAATATCTCGGTTAATTATTGACCAAACCCCATGAAATTTCACTCAGGGATGGAAAATGGGATCCTCTTTCATATTCCAAAGGCTGATCCAGATCTGATCCAGAAGACTGATTTTATCGCAATTTATATAAAAAATGGGGGTAGTCCTTGGTGGAGGTCTGAGCTCTCTGAGTGCTTTTCTAGTTTATGATTGGAACAAAAGATAACACTTGTCATATTTTTAATTAGGAAACAACAATAGGCAATTAAGTTTTCAAAAGTATTCAGATTTTTGGTTGGTGAAAGGTCCTTAAAATGGCAGCTACAACAAGAAGTTCAAGCGGGCTGTGGGCTGCACAAAAACAGGAAGATGTGCAGCCACTATGTTGAATGTTACAGTAATGATAAGATCTAATTACCTATTTCTTTTTTTCTATTTCCAGAACCTTCTTGACGTGAGACAAAAATGCTCAGCACTCAGCCATGATGCCACATTCTTATTTGGTATTTAATGAGAAACAAAACTATATCTATAAACACAAATTATTTAATTCTGAAACAGGTAACTGTTTTTTTGTTTTGCTGCAATGTAAAAAAGTGCAGCAGTAACAGGGATAATGGCAGGTGGCCTCTTGGCAATTAACAACTGGCTTTTTTCACTCATCAAAAAAATACATGGAGTTGTAGTTTGGTTCATTCATGTTTCATTAATCCTAGAGTGAATTCTGATTTGTAGAGAAAATAACAGCTTCCTGATCCTACATTAATAAGAGTAGAATATCAAGCTACATTTGATTCAACAGTTTTACCTTTCCTGTGATGTTTTGCATGTCACTAAAACAGCAGAGGTTAAAGGAAGTGTTTAAACTGGGCATGAAACTGTGGTATGCAAACAAGAGAATTTAGAGGAAGTCATAAGAGGAAGTCCAAACAAACAGTGACCTGGACCCTAAATGCGACATTTCACAAAGTTAAGGTATATTTTTGTGGCCAGAACAAAATCACATCTTTCTTTCAACAACTTTCAAACCACTGGGGTCATACTCTTTCAGGAAAAGTCAGTGAGTGTAGTACAGCCCCTGGGAACCCTCCCAAACCAGAATCCTGGTCATGACCTAGTTGTGTCATCACATTTTAGGTAGCCAACATTACAATGTGTAACCTTTCGGAGGAGGGTACACCACCTGCTTGTCTCCATGGAAATGGTAGTGCTTTGCCAAGAATGTTTTCTGCAGTATGGCATTAAACATATCTATGTCCATGGAGTCAAATGAAGCAAATAAGCAAGTTACTGGTCAAATCTGTGGAGAGGCGACTCCGCTAACTGCAGAACATATTTTAAGGTATTACAAACAAAAAAAAAAGGAAAAAAAATAATAATTGAATGAATAAATGTAAGATAGATAAAGTTGTCTTACTGTGGAAAAGTTTAGGCAAAGCAACAAACTCTCCATGAAAACAAGCCAATGCACCTTTGAGGCTTAGTAAAACTTGAGATCTCCCACAGTTACATAGCTACATTTTTAACACGCAGAACTTGTCACTATGCAAAAATAACTCATGTCTGGATCACACCGAGGAAACATTGGAAGGTGAGACACTTCCAGTTTCTGCCTGTTTATAACCTGCTCAGATGTAATTCATGCTAAAACATGCGGCAATAATCACAAAACAACTCATTTCAATGTGAATATAATTAGACCTGTAAAAGTACATGCATGCATGGGACTGTATTGTAACAACTGCACTTTAAAGAGCCTATACTACAATAATGAAATGCTTTTGTACATCTTGCATGTGATCAGCTTTAAACTAGACCTGCACGGTATGAGAAAAAGATGCAATTTTTTTTATTTTTATGTTCATACTATGCTATTTTCTGACCTATGTTCTCATCAAAAACATTTTGTTTCATTCACACATGTTAAACATATAGGCTGAGTTCCTCTCTTAAACTGAAAACATTATGTCCCACCTTGTGATGTCATGCAGTGATACAGGTGCTTCACTGTGTGAACTAAAGGTAAAAGGAGCTGTTAACTTGAAAATTACCACTTCATGACATCACAATGTGGAACATAGCATTTTGAGTTCTGGAGATGTAGACAGACTAATAAACCAGGATAACTCAAATGTGTGAATAAAAAAAAAAAAAAACACAGCTCCTGGTCTGTTTTTGAGGAGGCAACAACATTCTAACATGAATTAAAGCTCACAAGAGCAAATTTTGTGTAACATAGGACCTTTAATATATTTTAGTACAATAGGTTCAGGTCAGTTAAAAACAAAAAGTCCACATGCTTTCATTTAGAAATCAACCGCACAAAAACAGCACACTTCTGTAAACTGCATGCTGTTGCGATACATTTGTTTTCTTGTGATAATGAGTATTGCATCATCCAATTTGATATGGATATTTTAGAGATATAATGAAGCCATACTTTAAACTGCAGGTAAAGAATAATATAAGTCAAGTCTCTTTTATAAAATTCAAATATATAAGTTGCAGCTTGTCATTAGAATTCACAAGAATTCATTTGTGGGCAGAAAGGAATTGGTACATGGATAAAAAAACAAAAAGTGAAAGCAAAGCAAACAGTAAAGATCAGGGCCTGGACAAATAGCACTTCCAATATTAGCACTGGAGCACTAGACAATGCCCTGAGTGTAGATTAATTGACTAAAAGGGGGCATGGCACTGACAGCAATTCTTAAACTGTCTAGATCTCACCAAAAATAGAGAACTTTCTTCAAAAGTGAAAAGGCAGATTAAAGTGAAACTTAACACTAAATCTTTTTTTTTTTTTTGCTACTAAACTAAACTGTGTATGGTATTCTGATAGTTCTGTTCCTAGTCCTTTTCAATTTTAGTACAAACTAGGAAAATTCACAGCTTTTCAGTCAAAAATAGCCAAAAAAAAAAAACTGTGTGCGTGTTTGTGTGATGCCTCCAATGACCACTGCAATTTCAAGTACTATGTGACATCACATAGAAGTGTCCTAATTACAGCCAGGTGTTTCTGCAATGCCTGGCTGCAGGGGGCCGTGTTTGAAGTGTGGATACCTGTTAGACCAATCACATTGTTCCTCGTATGTCCAGATCCCGCCCCTCCTCTACCTTCACTCTCCCCTTTAGTCCTCCAGACACTGCCCCAAGTTAGCAGCTCTATATGAAATAGGCTCTATTCACACCTACATCACAAACCAGGAAGATGTTTGGAAACATGCAATGACAACTTCCGGTGGGCTTTGTTTGCAGAAGTAAGTCTGACAAAATCTAGGAAAAATTTGAAAATGGCCCAGTTTTCCTTATCTACATGTCATTGCAATGTTCCATTACGGTCGGCTAATCAATAATTACAACCATGCCTCAGTTTTCATCATTTCCCCACTGACACACAACTCCGAGCACACTGGGTACATGCGATTAGAAGAGATGAGGGTGCCAAATTCAAGATGATTCCAAACAGCACATACGTATGCAGTCTTCATTTTACTGCTGATCACATTTACTTCAATGGATTTTAAGTGGCAGGCGAGCCCAGTGTCGGTAACTACACCAGAAGTTGTCACCGCATGTTTCCAAACATCTTCCTGGTTTGTGATGCAAGCATGAACACTGCCTATTGGGTTGTGAGCAGAGTTTTGGTGTTTAGTCCCACTTTACTGTCCAGTCACGTCCAAAACTGCAGCAAACTCATATAAGTCCTCATAACCCTAATAATATAATAAGATGACCAAAAATACAATAAAAATAAATTACTATAATACTCTTTGTGCACGTTGTCAATGAAACACCAAGTATTTGCATGAATTACATTTTGGGCATTTTGAGTTTTCCGTTTTGTTCCAAACAGAAACAAAGTTACAAAACAGGGCAGAAAAGGGATTGACATGGGAGCAGCTGAGAGGAACAGGTCTTAAACACATGCAATTTACAATAAGTCAAAACAACTTTATATTGTGTGGAAAAACAGAATCGGACTGGAAAAAAGGAAAGATTTATGCATCAGTGGAGCACATGCAGTCGAGTTTAGGTTTAAGATTGAAAACAGCTGTACTCACTGGTTTCCCATTCCTGAGACGAGCAGAGAGAAGAGAGACACAACTTCTTTATCAACAGAATAAAATGCACACGACTACAACTTTGAATGTCTAAATCCAGCTATAGTTTCAAGATTTTCTGTTATGATAAAGGTAAACCAGACCAGTAAACTATACATACATTAAAATATGCCTGATTGAGTTTAGGAGCTTCTGTCATCAACACCAGTGGTCTTAAAGTGATGTTGCATTTCCTGAAGAGGTTTTTTTTTTTTTTTACAAGGTTTATGTTTGCTTCCCCTTTTACATATATGCATTGGTCTTGAGGGTTGGGCTGCTTCTAGTGAAGTCAAGTTAAAAATAAAGAAACACTTCAGTAGGTTCCGGACTATAAGGCTGCAACTACTCATTATTTTAGTAATCGACTAGACAAACCATTATTTCTATTATAAACTGAGATATTTTAACAATTTAAAAAAAGTTTTAAATATGGTGACTGAAGGCTTTAAATAGAGAATATGAATGAAGTGTCTTATTGATGAAAATGAGAAATAGTTTATTAATTTCATAATACCACTGTTATAAAGAAGGTATTTCTGTATGTTTTATAGTCTGCATAGTCCAGATAACAATTAGGATTATGTCAAAATTAGGGATCCAATCTGAATTAAAATTTGTGGGATTGGGTCAGATTTCAAATATCAATTCCATCAAGATCCTAATTGGACATATTGAACTGATCTAATTTGTTTATTTCCTGGTCATAGTTGGCCCAGAAATTTTCATAATGTTTGAATTTGTATTTACACAATGCTGTTGTAAAATAAATAACACATTTGGATCAGTTTTGTTTTATTTTATTTTAGATGAAAGAAAATTAAATGCTGTTTTCAGTGTGTGCACTGGTATCGCTTGATATTGGTATTGGAACAGAAAGCACGGGATTGGTGTATCAAAAGTCACAATTAGCTGATTAATCGTTGCAGCCCTATTACATTTTTAGGTACTGTGGTTTTAATACCTAGTTGGTCCTTGGACAGCGCTATAGATACTCAACATAGTCAACTACTGATGAACTACTGGTCAATTTACATCTTATAATTTGCATAATACACTTGATGCAAATTGACGCTGGTCTTTCCTTTCCTTAAACATCCTCATTTTCTTCAAACTGTCTTTTACCACTTTAAAGGGCTAGTATCTGAAATTACACTTGCCCCAGTACAGATATATTGTATAAGGTCAAAATATCTTGAGGTCAAAATAAAACGCTAGTCTACCTGTCTGTATCTCATTTATTGCTGATAAACAGGAAGTGCAGTTAGCATGTTAGTTGTTGTTAGCTTTACCGTGTCAGTGTCATGCTCTGGCCTCTGAAAGTTGTGAAAAGTGCTTATAAACTCATCACTGTGAACACCCAATAACAGTACCATATGTAAAAGCAAGATAATAATGAATGTGCTATATTCGTTTTTCTGTTAAATAGTTATTTTTTCACAACACTTGAATCAAACTGCATATTACAGCAGTACTATGCACCAAGAGTAAGTAATAGCAGTTTTAAATTAGTACATTAGTAAAACAGAGCATGTCAAAGTAGCGTTTAGGTGAAAAGTAAAAGTACTCACCTACTACTACTACTACTACTACTACTACTACTACTACAACTATTACTGCGACTAATTTCATCAGGCCTACTACTGCAGTGTGAACCAAGCTGGCAGCTAATGTTCAGTATCTTCTCTGGAGTATGCCAGCAGCAGCAGCAGCAGCAGCAGCAGCAGTGTGTAAACATTCCTAAAAAGTACTTAGGCCTAACATTTTCTCAGATGATTACTATTACAGCATGTCATAACAAAAGGATTAAATTGTTTTCCTCCAAGACACTGATAATAAATGTCCTATTTTATGACTGTTATATTTTATTGGATCATGATCTTTGAACAGGTTTACAACCACAAGCTTTTACTGCTTTATCATTAATGTCAAATGGATTAAGATCTAATATGATACAACCTACCAACCATAAATTTTAAAATTTCATTTTATAAGCAGAAATTTTGGTAACACTTTAAAATAACTAAACTTTAATAAGCCATAATAAAGCATTCAGAAAGACTAACTATATAATACCAAAAAACACCCAAGATCCCATATTACGCAAAAAGGATTCTTGTGATCTTAAGCCATGTTATAATGTTGTTACCTCCTCAGAAACATGACTGAAGTTGTGTTTTGTTTCATTCACACCTCGTGATGCCATGAAGCTGTAGTTTTACCTTTTGTTCAGTACAGATAGGCAATTCCAGGGCTGAAATTATCCAAATGATTTAAGTGAAGGTATATGGAGTTTAAGAACATTGGAGCACATCCTGTATTACCACATGACATCACAAGGTGAAACAGAGTGTTTACTGCTTGAGAGAAGAACTCAGCCTAAATATGCAGGATTATGTGTTAAACATGCATGAATCAAAGAAAACAAAATGGTTTTTGATGGGGACACAACATTATTACATAGATTAGAAATGAACTCTAACCCCTTAATTAAGTAGTTACTAAGCCTGGGTCAATCTTTACTATTTTCACTATTTTCTTTACTATTATTTAATGAATCAAGTCTTTCTTCATGCTTCATTATGACTGCAAAATTATTAAAAATGTCATTAACTTGAGAATCTATTAGACAATGTAAATAAAAGTTAATTAATTTCGTGATTTTTTTCTCACAATAATTGTAATGATGTGATATCTCTTCTAATGAACAAGCCATGCAACAGCTTGAAAGAAATTTGAGACAACCTTTCACGCTCATGTATTCAGTCACTATTAACATGTTTAAACAAAGAATTTCAAACAATAGTGGATCAAATTGGTAGCCACAATGAAACTCTAACAAAAGCTATCTGTAAGGCTAGCTACTGTCACTGATACAAAGAGAACCCCTAAATAAGAGCCCTAATAAATATACAAATAGCATTTTCAAGTAGAATCATAGGGTGAAGAAAATGTACTCTTAGCTCTTAGCTCTAGACATACAAACCTGCAAGAGTGGTTACAGCACCTGTTAACATTAAAAGCCAATACTAAAATATGCAGGCATAATAGATTGCATAAGCAGTCTTTCATTCTTTTTTATGCTTTGCCAAGCCATTTGCTTTGAGGTTAAATTATGACAATAGCAAGCAGGCTCTACACTATTTGTCAGGGAAAGGTAGAATACTTTTCTAATAATATTCCCATATATTCTGACTGTAGTCTCATACCTGACAATAACAATAAAGTAGACATATGTTGATAGTGTTAGTTTAATACCACTTTTGTTTAAACTTTTTTTTTTTTTTATCCAATCATTTATAATACTGACATGCATGTTATTCTAGACAAGCTATTAGGCTATATCATGTCCTACTAAGTTTTTTTTTTTTTTTTTTTTATAGGTCAAGTATTTGCTTAAATAAACATAATGAAATGATAATAGTTTGCATTTTGTGGAAACCAAGTGGTCAATAGCCATGTCCATTATACATATTTTCCATGATAGAATGTCATTTATTTGGTTAATGCAATATATATATATATATATATATATATATATATATATATATATATATATATATATATATATATATATATATATATATATATATATATATATACACACACATACATACATAAAATCCTTATTTAGGCAACCAGATTAATCTATAGTTTATTATGCATTTTATACTATTACCTATTTACTGACTAAATCATACGTGTTTAAGGAAGTCACGTGAGATAAAACTACATTTTATTCTAGAAAATTTGCGTATCTCCGCGTAATTTCATGCATTTATTGCCTGTCCTGTTGTTCTTAGTAACTTGTGTAGAATTGCTTATATATTGATTATACACACAAGCAGCATTTTCTACATTCATTTAGAATTTTTGCAGACACGTGTTTAAAATGCCCCGAATCATAAATGGTCTAAGTTTTGATACAAGTTTAGGTTAAGTGCAATTCAGAAGCATTCACCGACTTCAATGTTTAACGTAAAAAATTCGTACCACAAATGCAAACAAAAGAGATCGTATTACTTATGAAACGTGGGGGATTCTCCAGCTCCGTGCCCGTGATCAGTCCGTGTTTAATCCGCCCGAAGCCCGCTCTTCTCCAGACTCTCCCAGTTGAACCTCTCGCTTGAAATCTGGACTTCTGCAATCGCTTCGAGCCTCCAGCGAAGTGACATGAAGAAGAGGCGGGTTTAGACAGAGTATGAACCAATCAGAAGGCAGAATGGGCAAGCGGTGGAAAAACTCTGAAAGGCTATTGGTCAAAATAAATGTCAATCAGCACCAGATAACTTGTCGCAAAGGTGAGTAGGGCTTCGTTATTGTTTTTTTTTAAGTTAGGATTTATTCGAGTAGAGTCAAGAATAAAACTGTCATTCGATGTATTATTTCTGTCACTTTAAAAAGCATTTTTAATTCCAAAAGATAAAAAGTTAAGAGGGAATAAATGTTCGTAAAAGGCGCGTTTTTATATGATAGATCTTTAGCTCTATCTAACGGAGAAATTTGGTAACGCAACAATCCATGCAAAGGCCAGTCTATGGGCCAGACTAACTTTTTCCTTCAAATTAAAGCATCAAATGAGAGACACAGATGTAAAAGAGCTAGGCTGATCTTACCAAGTCTGTGTTAGACATAAACTTCTGATTACTTGCCAAGTAAAAATATCACTATTGTGAAATTGCAAAAGAAAATGTTATTCAGACATCTCCTTGGTAACAGATATTTCCATGGTGACACACCCCCACTAGAAAAGTTACAGAGCGTACCTTTAACTAGTAATCACTTACGGTGGCGTGACATCACAGTGGCTTGGTGTCTCTTCCGTCCTGCAGGTGTCGCTGTGTTTTATTCCCTCTCTTTGATGCGTCGCCATGGAGCTGCCGTTGCCTAGTGACGACAAAACTCCACACTCTGCACTTCCGGGGGTTTCAAACGCGTCTCTGTTCAGCGCCACGGAACCAACTTTTACCCACAAATCCACTGTTTTTATGAGGATTTATCATCCAAACATGATGCTGAATATCACAAAAGGTCTTTAAAATGTGTCTCCGAGTAGGTTTAGTTTTCTTGCGCTTTTCTGATTCGCGAAAACGAGCGAAGAATGATGAATAATTACATTTTCGTGAAGGTGGTGGGGAGAGGGAGCTACGGTGAAGTCCACCTGGTCAAGCACAAAACAGACCGAAAACAGGTCAGAAAACTGCTCAGACTGAACCTTTTATTGATCCTGAATAGCTACCTTTGAGGAAATTGTAGATGGATGATTTTGTACTGAAAAGCTGTTGTTTTGGATGAAAGAATAGTCAAATGCTAGTGTCTTACTTTTATTGTTTACAGACCAAACAAAACTACACCCAAATTAAAAGCTTCAACACGTTTTGCTGATCTGTCGATCATGTAAAACCAGAAGTCAACTATCTCATTATTTGTTGGATCAGACTTATAAGATTTATAATACATTTTGTGTTACCAAGCTAGTAGTTTATGTAATGTCAATAAATAAAGCCTGTATTAGTATTAGTGTATTTTACTGTTGGTTTGGTATGTCTGATGAGGAGAGACTGGAGTATTTGTTTAAATGTAATGTTTTCAAGCTGGCTCACTTTGTGTTAAAAGCCTGGGACCTCCGTAAGAGGACACTTTATGTTGACTAATCAAGTTTTGATCATTGTAGTCATAAATATATGGACTATAGATTACTCACAAGTACAAACACATGACAGTTGCTGTGAAAGAGGTTTTATTAGGCAGCTCTAGGCCTATCATGATAATTACTATGATCACTTATCATTCAATACATGGTAGATGGAACAATAATTTTGGGCTGGCAATATTTATTGTCGGAACTTTTTCTACTACTACTTAAGAGTTGCATTCTGTTATTTATTAATTTATTGCTGCTTATATTTATTGCAGCTCACATTATTTTTGTGGATAATTTTGCTTTATGGTTTGGTTGTTGATTTACTTATGGTCTATATTTACTTCAGCAATATATTTCAATTAAAAATTTGTTATCATGACCTAGACAAACATGGCCTAGACAAAGTCAAAACTACATGTGTAAATATTCTGTATTAAGAAGGTCCTCTTTGTGCAGTATGTGATAAAGAAGCTGAACCTAAAGACCTCCTCTAAACGTGAGCGCCGTTCGGCTGAGCAGGAGGCCCAGCTCCTGTCTCAGTTGAGACACCCAAACATTGTGACATACCGGGAGTCATGGGAGGGGGACGACTGCCTGCTCTACATCGTGATGGGCTTCTGTGAAGGAGGAGACCTGTACCACCGCCTCAAGCAGCAGAAGGGGGAGCTGCTGCCAGAGAGACAGGTGGTTGAGTGGTTTGTCCAGATTGCAATGGCTCTGCAGGTGAGGGGGGAATTACATTAAGGGGTTTTCAGTAGTTATCTGTGGGGACTTTGCATGTTCTCCCCATGTCTCCCTTTTGCATGCTCTCCCCTTGTCTACATGCAGTTGGGTCTTCTGCTTTCCCTTACCTTACCGTACATTCAGGTTAAATGGTTACATGCATAGTCAGAATGGTTAAGGACAAACTTTCCATCTGACCAATGCAATTTCATTGTATAACTTCACTTATAATGATATGTTTAATAAATAATACATTTTAACTTACATTTCTGTTGATCTAAAAAATTTGGTGGTTTTGAATTTTAAAAAATGTTTTCTATCAGCCAGCACCAAAAACACCATTAATTTCAAAGTTCTGAACTTCTCCTTCAGAGCAATTAAATGTTACTTAATTTTTATATACATAATTTTTATTTATACATCTCAATAACATTCATCTAGGTAGTACTAAATGTTTTTAATTAGTCACAAATACAAGCCATCGGCAGTATACTGGCATAAATCTATTGGTGTATTTCTTCTTATTATTGTGTTATTTCATACCTTTTTCATGAGGTTTTGAGAATTAACTGATTGCTATGTTTTTCAGTACCTCCATGAGAGAAACATTCTCCACCGGGATCTGAAGACCCAGAACATCTTTTTAACAAAAACAAACATCATAAAAGTTGGAGATCTGGGCATTGCAAGAGTTTTGGAGAATCAGAACGACATGGCCAGTACTTTGATCGGGACACCCTACTACATGAGCCCCGAGCTCTTCTCCAACAAACCCTACAACCACAAGGCATGAGGATATGCAAATCTATTGCACACTGCAAAAAAATAATGTCTACGTGAATTAAAATGACTTGAATTTAGAATGTTTATCTTGTTCTGCCTAGTTGTGATATATTTATTTTTAAGACTTTCCTCAAGGTTCCTCAACTTTCTTACTGGTTCCTGATGAGCATTTCATTTCACATTTCACTTAGACATGCACTATAACCTGTCTGAACCACTACCTTCCTCCATGGAAATGTTATTGCTTTGTCTAAAATGTTCCACATGTCATTATACGTATCTATTTCCATTGAGACAAGCAGGTGTTGCCACTAAACCAAGTAATCTATAGAAAGGAGATCCCCTCACAGTAACAATGTTTTTCAAGGTATGTTTTTGTCAGAAACAAGAAATCAATCTGAAATACGTTTAAGCATGTCCACACATATAATAAACAAACATTGTTAAAACTACACAGAATAACAAACTACACTGAGTCATTTTATCCCACAGATCTCTTGTTCAAGAGGCTATAATGTTAACCTTATTGGTACATGTTAAGGATTAGAACGGATAAAATGATTTTATTCATGTTTGGTTCACAGTCAGACGTTTGGGCACTGGGCTGCTGTGTGTATGAGATGTCGACTCTGAAACACGCCTTCAATGCCAAAGACATGAACTCACTGGTTTATCGCATCGTGGAGGGGAAGGTTGGTGTTGGTGTTTTGTCACTTGAGTGAATGATTATTGTGTTCTAATGTTACTTAACTGTTGGAGAATGGTTTTAAAATGCTTTCTTGTTCTTAAGGCATTCTTTGTGTCCTTGTATTCTGTATGGATTTGGTCTGTCTCAGGAATACGTTATAAATTTTATTCTTATTCGCTACTCAAAGCATCATGAATAATGATACATTACATTTTAAAAAACTCAAATTTTAAAAATATGTAAAGAATTCATTCATTTATATATTTTTAGGTTAATATTTAATCACATTTTAGTGTATTATTACTCATTCTGTTATTGACACTTTCTCTCTGTCCTTCAGTTGCCTCAGATGCCCTACCGGTACGACCCTCAGCTGGGAGACCTGATCCGGAGCATGTTGAGTAAAAGACCTGAGGACAGACCGGACGTCAAACACATCCTCCGACAGCCCTACATCAAACGGCAAATCTCCCTGTTCCTCGAGGCCACAAAAGAGTATGCCACTTTACTGTATATTTGAGTTAAAAGGTACAATATTTTTTCTTGAGGGGGGTCTACCTCCTGCTTATCTATCATACATTCTTAGTCTAAGCAGGGTGATCTCTCCACAGATCTCATTTGTAATGTTGACTGGTGGCGTCACCTGCTTATCTCCATGGACATGGAGTTTAGATAAATGCCGGAAAGTAGTTCACCTTTAAAGGTGCTTTAGGCCTGCATTATAATTGTGTCTTAATAATAATGATCTAGTAATTGATTTGCTGTGGAGTGGGGGAAGATTCATGCACACTTCAATTTATAATTCATTGTTTGTAATAAAATACCTTATGGCACAACAAAATGTTGTAGTTTAAGTCATAAAGTTGTGTTCTCTCTGTATTTTCTGTCTTTAGAAAAACATCTAAGTCCAAAAGGAAGGCTGTTGCTGTTGGGGGAGGAGATTGTGAGTCCAGTGCATCATCTGAAGCAACAAAACTAAAATCTGAGAAACAGTCTCCCAGTCCTCAACATGAGCCTCCTCCCAAACCCAAGCAGCTGGTATGTCTGGGACATACTCTAAAAGACGCAGAAATATGAAGGTAATATTTATTATTATAATCATTCATTTACCTTCTCTATTTCAGCCGGAGAAACTTCATAAGCCTAAATCTCAAAATGGCATTTGTGACCTCGCTCCAAAACGAAGCACTCCTCCTCCCAAACCCCCTCCTCCTTCTTTTCCCTTAAAAGACCTGAATGACAACATGGCAACAATCAGCAACATCAACATCGATATCCCACTTCAAAATGACCAAAATCAGGTTAAAAAACACAGTTCCCCCCCTTTGCAACAACAAAACTCTGAACCTACACCGAAACATGCCCAGAATGAATGCAAAAACAAGAAGAAATTGGACATTTTGCCATCAAAATCTCCACTGTTGCTCCTTTCAAAAGCTGTAACAAGTGTAAATATTGAATCTTTGGACGTTAATCCAAAAACAACACCAAATCCAAGTAATACATTTTTATTATTAGGCAATAAACCTGTTGTAAATGATCGGATTGATACAATGGAGCTACTGAGGGAAGCTGGCTTCCTGGATTTCAACATGGACGGAAAGAAAGAAGAGGATAAATGTGTGTTTGTTCCGGAGAAGAAGCAAGAAAACAAGTTTTTAAAAGGAAACATAGAAGAGGAGTGTAAAGAGGAGGGTGAAGGTGACACCATGATGCTGCTGAGAGGCGCTCAAATGGAAAAACAGACTCCAGAAATACAAGTGAGTAGTCTTAAATAATGTAATGTGTGCTTTTAGCCTTGTCACAATATTTTTTTTTGAATTTAATTATTTTATTCATAAAATATTAAAGATTGTGTAGACTTGTATGAATTAAAGTAGATGATCATTATTTATTTTATTACATGACTGACTCAGTTTCATTTTTATTTACAATGTGGCTAATTGTAAAAGGGGTTCACTAGGATTTTCCTGCATTAGAACTATTGTCTCAGTTGCATGAAGTTGTTTCAGTATTACTGTTTATAGCTATATTAGCTGTGACAATATATTGCTCTTCAAATCATGTAATTGTTTTGTAACATTTTGACATTGTTTGTTTCAGACAAATCTGGAGTCCACAGAAAAGCTATTAGAGCCACTGCCTCCAGTTCAGGTCTGTTCCTGATGATTGATAATAAGCGATCTGATATACTTAGACATTATTCTTATTTGAATCTATTCTTGATTGTGTGGGTTTCAGGTCCCTGCTCCCAGACCTCTGCCTGTTCCTCCACTCCACTCCACAGCTCACCACAAAAAGAAGAAACTCACAGATAATGAAAAATCTAAACTACCTAATGTGCCAGCCTGTACCCCTGTTAGTGACGGAGACATGCCTCCTCTGCAGCAGGTCAGACACTGCTACTTATTTGACATAATATATATATATATATATATATATATTTTTTTTTTTATTTATTTATTATTTTTTTATTTTATTTTATATATTTTTATAATTGTATGCTTTATGTTCTTATATTTGTGGTACTTTGGTTGTTCCCAGGGGCGCCCTCTATCGGCCCGAGAGAGGAGGAGGCTGAGGCAGTCACAAGAAGGAATTGGCCAGTCAGGTACTTGACTTTCCCTGGAATGTTCCACAGTATGGCATTTAAACATCTATCTAGGGTTAATCTTATTAGGGGTGTTTTTATTCAAGCCACAGTCAGGTATTTTACTTATGGATAGTAACAGATTTAAAAGTACTGGAGGGCAGCTTGTCTCCATGATTATATTATAGCTTTTTCTTGAATGTTCCACAGTAAGATTTTAAATATTTTTATCAAGAATTTGTTTCATTACAGGTGTTTTTATTGCTCAAAAGTAACTTAAAACATGCATTCTTACAGTGAATGGGCTCACCTCTCCACAGGTTTATAAATGGAATTTTGTGGGATGGGATCAGCTTTTGTTTACAGGTGAAATTTTGATGACCCCCTTGAAAACGAGATGGTGACACATCTCAAGGGGCTTATCCTCCAAACAAATAAATTCAAATTCAAACTTTTCACTATTCAAAGGATATAATATTTTGTTTATTGTTCATCATTCTCAAACTCACAGTGATAAAGTCTCTGTTCTACCTGCTCAGACAGAGTGAGGGTCCTTAACTTGTTTGGTTTCCCCATCAACCAAAGCATGTAAATCACAAAGGCTGCGATTATTTAGGTAACGTGCACCATAGGTCATTGACTCAAGGAAGAATAGCTGTGTGGAAGCACAGCTAATGGAGGTCAAATAAATACAATACAATACAACACAATGTTCTCTGTGGTGAACAAAATATGCAGTGTCTGTGAAATCTTATCATGTGTAAAACCTGCTAACCTTGTAGTTTAGATTTCTGCAAACATGTTCTGAAATGCATGGGATTCAGATATTAGTTTAGCAGTTCATATTTCAGTATTTCAGTCACAAATGTAAGCACAGAACAAAAAAAATCCTACTTAGATACAACGTTGAAAACTACTATTAGGTCTTCTGCTCGTGACAGGTTTAACTCCAGTCACAGTGAAGGATGGGTCAAATGCAGAGGGCACATTTCCTTACAGTACTTAGATCATTGAACTTCTTGGTTATTTTTAAAAGACAAGACAGTGTGAGATGTGTTTAGCTGCAAGCCATCCTCAGAGTGACCTGCCAGTTTTGACCTGACCACCCTCAGTGTTCAGTCTGACAGAGTTAATTACGGAAGAAGATAAAATGAAAGTTTTTGGATTGCTTAAATCACTTACCTTGTGCTTAATATTTCAGGTATAAATCCAGTGAGAAGGGCCTCCTATGATGTGACCTCCTCAAAACAGGAGGGCACAAGTGTTCAAGTGAGTCGCTCTGTGTCTGTCCCCTTCACAGAGAGGACTGACAAGGTAAGGCTATGTACACACACATTCTCTTATGCAAAAAAAGAATACAAATAAAATCAGTCATATTATAGTATTTTTTTAAAATGTGATGTGATAAAGCACTAAAGGCAATAGCTTTAATATGCACTCCCGAATCTGGGATGCTATCAGCTGTCATATGCTGAGGATGCAACATATGAATCATATGATGACTGCAAGGAGTAGTAGTGTTTATTACATATACACTATAATTGTACTCATTTTTTCAGCAGCAGGAAAAGTCAGATGAGGAAGATTTTAGTTCATCTACGAGTTCCACCGAGTGCTCAGTGGCAGACAGCAAAGAGAGGTCAGTGTCCGGTTTAAAAGTGATGTGTTATAATGTTCTTCAACTGAATAATTTCACATTCATTTACTTTTATTTGTCTCATCAGAAAAGCAGAATCCAGTGACATGCAGGACCTGGTGCAGATGATGACGCAGACTCTAAAGATGGCCGCTGCTGATGGAGAGGGGTCGTGTGACCTCCAGGAGTTCAAGCTGAACAGGAAGTACAGGGACACTCTGCTGCTCCATGGCAAAAAACCCAAAGACCTGTCCCTCAGCAACATCAGTATGGGTGAGAGCTATTAGACAGCTACTGCCAGCATTTCTTTTAGAGGGTAGAGGGCTACACAACTCTATGAGCCACTATTATTTTTGAAACAACCAATAGTCAATGGTTAGAGCAGTGGTCCCCTAACCAGAAGGTCAGAGGATTGATTTCCTACTCAGACCAAGTTCTGTCGTGTTCTTAGGCAAGGCACTTCACCCACCTTGCCTAGTATGAAAGTGGTGTGTGCATGAGTTTTGGTGGTGGTCAGAGGGACCACTGATGCAGCCTCACTTAGCCTCATTTCCGTGACCGTCAGTCTGCCCATGGCAGTTGTGTCTGCAATCGTAGCTTACCACCACTGAGTGTATGAAAAATAATTTTGTGTAGCACAATTTAGGCTTTCTCAAGCCTGTAAAGCCCATTACAAGAGTATGGCATTATTATCATTACATTAAACAGAAAATCCACAAATGTTGAACCCTACCAAATATAAATTTACCTCATTCATTAGTGATGACAGAGAAGAAGCTGAACTTTGTGCCAGTTTTAGTTTCATGTCAAGGCCCAGTAATTACAGAGGTATTGACAAGATCAGCAAATCTGCAATCTGACAGTTAGACAGCAACTTCCAACATAGAAGTGTGACCTGTCCCCCATATACATTTAAACTATTCATGGGTTTCAGTTTCCAGTAATAGACACCATTTTGAGGACTTTTTGCCGTTCAAAACATTAACATTCAATTTTCTTAAAATTTTACATTTTTCCCAAAAAAAAAAAAAAATGGGTACTGACTGTAGAATGTTGTGGTATCACTTGAAAACAACCTATTCTGACCTCCCCTGCACCTCCAGTTTAAAACAGGGACACTGATCATCATGGTGTTTCTACAGGGTCCACGTCAGGTCCAGCCAAAGTGAGACGAGTTGTGGAGCAGCTGAGGACTGATGTTCTGAAGGGACTTGGGGTCAAACTCCTGGACAGAGTGCTGGAGGTTATGGAGGAGGAGGACGAGAATAAACGAGAGGTATGCTGGGAAAATATAGTGGTTCACAATGAACTTAATGCATTCATTTTCAATCTGTGCGCCAGGGAACACTTGTGTGGCTTGAGAAAAATTTGAGGTAACAGAATTGCACATGGATTTAATTGAAAAATTAAATCTATGTGCCCTGAGCAAATGTTTGCACTAAAAAATAAAGCAAAATGATCAAGACCAAATTTAAAGAACCAAACAGTGGCATAACTATTAATAGCCACATATACCATATATAGTGTGATTTTAAAATGTTAGGAGGTGTGCCGTGAAATGTATTATTATTTATTATTATCTAAAAGTTTGCAGAAAGTTAAATTTATATACATTTTCTCATACAATTCGATATTAACAATTCAAAACAGCTATGATGTATGGGAATTCATACACTTTTTGTAGTGCATTAGATTACAGTGTTGCTTTTTCTGTCTCTCAGTTGCATCTCCGGGAGTTGATGGGGGATGAGAAGTACCAGGCCTACGCTGTGATGGTTCGACAGCTCAAGTTCTTTGAAGATATGGCCCTCAAAGTTTAAAACACTTCACGCACATTTCAATTCACAGAAGTCTGGATTATCTCATGTTTAATTTTCTGTGCCATTTTAGTCACTATAAACTCTGCATCACGTTATATTTTGTAATACTTTGTAAATAATTGTATATTTTTATAAGAAAAACATTTTCCACCTTTTTTTTTTTGGCTTTAGTGTTGTATTTTTAGCATGTAATAGTTTATGTAAGCAATTTTTTTGTTTTGTTTAGTTACTTTTTTTTTTTTAAGTTAAAGGTCTAAATATGCAGAAGTTTATATTTATCAGTTAGGCAATGTATATATTGTTTTTCTTTTCAACTAAACAATAAAATGTCTACTTAAGCTCGTCTGTTTTGAAACTTTATTTAAATGCATGTCCATTATTGACCAACACTGTAACAAATGTATTATTATCAAATGGTACGAAACTAATAGTTGACACCCTTTTATGATTTTCTATATAAAAAGTAGGCTGAAGGGAAGATGAAGTTAATTTATTTGTGCTTCTTCTTTTTGATATTTTCTTGAGGTTTTGGGCATGGCTCACCACCCGCCTCTGGGACAATGGGCTGCCAGTTCAAAGGATTCTTTCTGTACATCGGCCATGGAGGGAGAGTGAGCTGAAATGAGAATATTCAAATGTATTTTAAAACATTTGAGCATGAATACAAAACAAGGCAGTTCCGGTAGAACATAACTTACCACGCAAGACACTGCAAAACCAGCTAACACAATGTATACTGTCCACCCAAACTGCTCCACGATCAAACCGTAAATAAACCCAATTGCCTGAAAATGTGAACAAGATTTAATTCAAATAAAACAAATGAAAAACAGGTAAAGAAAATTAAACACTAATGCAATGTCTTACCGCTGAAACTAGAATTATTCCTTGGAAAATCTGTTCAGCCAGCTTCTGACCCTTATAATCCTGTAACACAAATAGACACATTATTAAGTTAATATTAAAGAGTATATGTTGAGATATCAAACTACATTCTACTACATTCCCAGGCCCTCTTATTTCTCAATAAATCTAATATGATTACTCTAAGCATTATTGTTCCTGTTACATTCAGTTATTGATGTGCAATGAATGTAAACTGTTCAAACTGAGGACCCCAAGTGGTTGATTATAAGGCGAGACCCCCATTTTTTGTACTGAACTGACAATATTAAAATATATAATAAGTATGTGCTCAATCATAAAAAAACCTCTAAACATCACAAATTGGCTAGTTAGTTTAATTTCCTTTCTCAACTGATTACAGTAGCAGTTGCCTATATCAAATACATTTTGGAGAAATTATGAGTAATTAAAATAATTACAGACAAAGGTGACAAAAATATGTTACCCAAATATACCCATATGTTAATTTTTTCAAATTCAGACATGCATGCACAAATAATGAGCTATTTTGCCATATGATGGGTAGCCTAAATGCTTTCACATTATTTTACAACGCACTCAGTACAATTGTGCAACATTTGAGAAATGCTGAATGCCGTTAATTATATAGAAAAAGCAGTTTGCGAGAAAACAGCGGTGTGAGTTCTGCAAAGCAAATTAACCAGCGCATGAATGAAATGATCTGATAATACTGTTACCAAACACACAACCAGCTAAAAACCCTTACCATATGAGTCGGGATGGATTTAAATATGGATAACATCTTCTCTCTTCAATTAAGAATACTTCCACGGCCTAAAACGATGAAAGTGGACCAAAAAGAAACACTTTTTATGCACACATCCGGTTTTACAAAAAGATACGTCGCATTGTAAAAGCTTTTCCTGTCTCTGCTAAGACCCAAAGATTTACTTGTATAAACCACCTGGATACAACTCGAGCTCGGCTAACAGAATCGAGCCGTGGTCATCCATTTTGTTAACTATTAGCGAAAAGCGTTTTAGCTGTCTTTAATAACGCCAGTAAATAATATCACTAACGTGTTAATTTTCTCTTTTGTTAAATACACATAATTCAATGTTTCAATCAGAAATCGGGTTAATGCTTCTGTTGCATACATATACATATATTTTTTAATAGCAACTTGATATATAATTAGTTATTTTGGGCAGGAAATGTGGCTGTATGCCTACTACACCCAGCCTCGATAGCAAATAAAAGTTGCCAATGTTGAGTTGGCAGTTTGGCAGTCAAGGTAAATTGTCTTTCTTTGCCATTTTTTATGTAATTTAAAGATGTATTTTACTGTATTTTAATTTATCTACATCTTTTGGCTGAGGTCTCTTTGCATACGTGTTATAATGTTCTTTGTTTTGTGTAGACGCGGCTGCTGCAGCTTGTGACCTCGCTTAGCATCATCCTCCTCCAGCCTATCCTTACATCTCAACATTTCGCGTCTTAAATTTTCGTTTGAAAAAAATTTAAACTCACTAAAGGGACGAATGAAGACGCCATTATGACACTACGAAAAGGTAAGAGTTATTTATTAATGTACAGTTTGGTTTATGTTTGCATTGGTCTGTAAACTTCTTTATTCTTACCAGGTTTAGTGGCAAAATGTAAATCTTTTTGTATTTTTTTCAGTAAACCTGGTGATTCTGGTGCTCCTGGCTGTGGCCTTCCTTATTATTGTTCAGAGAAACCTTCTGAATCTCAGTGACTTTTTACACAAAGAGAATCCAGGTAAAAATGTGATAAGGAATAAAAATTTGTGGTTTAATTGATTCTGGTCAGGTGTTATGCAGATACAAAGATATTATTTATGGCTTATTAATTCAGTGTGACGCAAATAACTTGTAATATTATGCTTACAAACAAACACAGATGGACCATTCCCTTCTCCTTCTTTTAATTGGAAACATTTTATTGCTATTTCAGACATGTCAGTGTCTTGCCCAAGGACACAAGAACTGTTTGTTATTCCAGTGGCAGGAATAATCAAACATTGACCTTCAGATTAGTAGGCAAAGGTCTTATTCAAATGAGCTACATTAAATCATTTTATTGCCATTCTGACATTCTAAAAACAGTTTCTCAAAGTGTGGTGCATAACAAAACAATGTTCTTACTGCACAACCATTAGGAAAAATAGTTAGTTGCTGGCAAGTTACATTTCCTGAAGTTGTAGTTCAAAAAGCAAAAGTACAATGACAATATTAGACCAAAAATATTAGACCAAAATTGTGCACTGCTACAATTGAATTTGCAATTTATTACAAAATTCTGTCAAAATCTCCTCGTCTCGTTCTTGTGGACTGAATCTTGACTGTGAAGCGCTTGACTGTATGGAGTGACTTAAGGGTCTCTGATGGTGTATTAGTCGTGCTTATACTTGGTCTCTTATGTATTTATGTTCAGTGGTGGATGTTTGTATGGGCTTATGTTGCTGTGTTGCCTTTTCTTTATGTTAAAGCATGTGTCCCAAGACAAATAGACAATAACAGATTTATTTATTTAACTATTATTATTATTATTATTATTATTATTATCATTGTGGGAATTGTGTCTGGGCCCACCCACAAACACATACATTTTTTCCTATTTACTCTACTTCCAGATTCTGGGGTGGTCCTTCCTTTTGAGGCGGAACTCTCTCAGAACCTGCGTCCGGCTTCAGGGCCCAGATCTGGAGATGAGATTCCAGTTCTTATCACAGCGGCAGAGGACCGACTGGGCGCCACAGTGACGGCCATAAACAGCGTCTACTCCAACACTAAAGCCAATGTGGTGTTCACTATAATCACTCTCAACCACACTGTGCAGCACCTCAAGTAAGTCACAACCAACCACAACCACCTGGTGTAGGGTTTCTGTAATCCCTCTGTCTTCCAGAAAGGGCACATAACAAAGGAGAAATTCAATTCTGTCAACTGGAATTGTAGAGACTGTTAAATAAATAAACAATGTATTTGTCCAACCACAAAGCCTATAGATCAGTATTAGACATATTACTTGCCCCTGAACACTACACCAAGTGGCAAAGGAGAAATTCAGTTCTGTCAACTGGACAAAAATGTTTAATCAAAGACGTTTCGGAGCTTCGTCATTTCTGGTCAGACTGCTGGTGGACCAGAACTAACGAAGACTTTGGTTGGATAAATAACTAGTTTATTTATTTAACTGTCTCTACAAATGGAAAAACTTCTTGTCCTGGGGACCACTCTGACAAAAAAAAAAAAAAAAAAAAAAAAGCTTTGACATTGACATTCCATAGTTTTATTGACATCCTATTTTTACTTATTAGAAAAATATAACTGAAATGCAAAAACTAACTACTAAACAGAAGTACAGATTATGGCTGGCTGTTAAATGTTTATGGTGCACAAAACAAAACAAAATAAAAAATCACACCTTTCATGCTCCTTTTTCCAGTATGCTGTATTTAGGCCAATATATGTTTATTTTGCCTATATTTTCTGCTGTTATCGGCTGACCTTCTATTGTTTTTCTCCTATCTCCACAGAGCGTGGCTCAGTGAATCAAAGCTAAAAAGCATTAAACATAAAATAGTTATATTTGATCTGGAGTTCCTTAAAGGGAAGATTTCTCAAGATTCAAACAGCGTGGAAGCTTCAAAACCAGTAAGACAAGTTACACAACAGAAACCCACAGCATATTTTTGCTGTGGTAAAACAGTACAATATTCCCTACATTGTCTGTACTTATTTTGCAGTTGGCTTTTGCAAGATTCTACCTCCCCCTGTACTTCCCTGAGGCAGAAAAGGCCATTTATTTGGACGATGATGTTATTGTACAAGGTGAGTGGAATGAAATGGAAATACTTAATGATATACAGTAAAAAAAAAGTGGTTAGGGGATAGGGACCGTTTATTATTATTAATGTATAATTACAGTGTAAATATGACAGATTATTGTTAAAATGCACATTTCTGCAAATAAAAAACAAGATTCAACATTTTTAAAACTTTTCATTAAAACTATAATTTGAAGGTTTATTTGATGTCTTTTTTATCAGTAGTTTGTAATTGTTCTACAAAAAGAACATTATTTTGTCCAGATTGCAGAAGGTTGCAATAGGTTAAAGTTGCATAGTTTATAACTTGTGTATGACTTGTTATTTTTGTTTGATTTTAGGAGATATTCAGGAGCTGTTTGAGACCAATCTTAAACCAGGACAAGCAGCAGCTTTCTCTGAAGACTGTGATTCTTCCTCTGCCAAAGGAATCGTTCGAGGAGCTGGGAATCAGGTGTCCACCCCTTTCACTCACTCTTATGGGTTTCAAGTAAAAGTTAAAGTTAAAAAAAAGAAAATTGATACATGTTTTAAAATCTTTTGTCAATATTGTACATTCACAAATAAAAAGGTTTGATTGTATTTTAAATTAACTGCATTTTATCTGTATCTCTTTCAGAATAACTACATGGGCTTCCTGGACTTCAGGAAAGAGGCGATAAAGAAGCTGGGTCTGAGAGCAAACACGTGTTCTTTTAACCCTGGAGTCTTCATCGCAAATCTGACAGAATGGAAAAACCAGAACATCACAGGACAGCTGCAGCACTGGATGGAGCTCAACACACAGTGAGGATATACATATACTGCCGCTACTAATACTGCTACAACTTACTGCTAATAATACTGCTGCTGTCACTATAACTAACAGTGAAGGTATGATTATATTACATAGGGGTGTCCAAACTTTTCAAGGGCCACATATATGTAGAAACATATTTGAAGTGGAGGGCTGCATATGATAGTGTTGACAGTGCCAATATAACTTTATTAAGACTTGAAACACACATTTTAGTTTTGTATGGTAATGCAGTATGATGTTGTTGAAGTTCTGTTGGTGGAAAATGCAGTACATGTTCAGACACCCCTGTACTACTACTATTGCCACTAAAACTATAGCAGATGCAGCACTGGTCCTCTGACTTCCTGTTAAATTGGCCCAAATGATCTTAAGCATTACTTTTTACTGCAAACTGTAGTAATTCTAGCACTAACCTCAATAACACCACAGTGCATGGTGGTACAGGCCGAACATTAAAGTCTCAAGCCTTGTTAAAGGTCCAGTGGCTCCATCAAACCTGTGTAAAATGCATCCATATGAACATCACTCTATATTGACCACTGATGTTTCAATTGTCTGGAAAAGACTGGACACCCCGCTATACAGTATGCCTGTAGACATAATGTTCTTATGATTTGTAAAAAAAAAAACAACAACTTTATTTTCATGTAAATACTGCTATGTCTGACTCACATCACGTGACATGGTTTGGAATCTGTTTTAGTCCAGATAATGCGTAGCAATATTTGTAAATATAATTTTTTTCAGCCCTATTGTGAGGGACAAATATGAAGGCCTTTTCATATTTCATAATGGCTGTGTTGTTGTGTGTGTTTCCAGTGAGGACCTGTACAGTAAGACTCTGGGTGACAGTGTGATCACTCCTCCTCTGCTCATCGTCTTCTACAAAAGACACGGCGCCATCGATCCCATGTGGCACATCAGGCATCTGGGTCAGACATCACACTATAACGCATCTTATTTTATCTAGGCTTTTCACTAGTGCTGAAATATGAATCACAATTACATTAAACTACAGCTCTGATTTACACGAAAGTGTTAACATTGGTTTAAAAAAAAAAGGCATTATATATAAATTGTTGTACTTGATTATTGCGAACGACGATATTGTGATATAATAATTTTTTTGCAATTTGGTTAAAATAAGACTCAGGTGACAATTCACACCTAACAGCTACTCCCTACTATAAACAACTAGTTAGTTAGCTCCTCCCTTCAGACAGATGTAAGACAGTGACTTTCAGAAGAGAATGAAATTTTCTTTTGTATTTGGTTATCATTTTAAAACAAAAATTATCAAATCGTTCTTGTGTACCAGGTACGACAGGAGCAGGTAACCGTTACTCGTCTCAGTTCGTTAAAGCCGCCAAACTGCTGCACTGGAACGGCCATTATAAACCCTGGGGCCGCGGTGCTGCCTTCACTGACCTCTGGGATCTGTGGTACATTCAAGACCCCACTGGAAAATTCCACCCCATCAGACGGCATGAGGACAGAGAATAAGACCACTATAAAAAGGACATCTACACAAGGTAAAAATAGATTTTTTTGTGTGTGTCCTTTTACTTTAAATATTTATTGCACTGTTTATAAATAATATCTCTAAGTCTAAATTATTCATTTAATCTGTTTTTTAAAGTAAATGAGTCTAAACCTAAACTAATATTTCAAATTAATTATGGGTTATTGTTTTTTACAGACTTAAAAATTAAAGTTTTGGGACCTTTTCAACCAAATGGACCTACTTTGGACCAAATTTTACCTCAGGAAACACTAACTGTTAAATTCACAATACCCTATCATGTTCTCAATTGTATTTTGCTTTATTGCCAAAGCCTGACCTCACTTTACCTGTGGACATTCTATCTGTAAATCACGTTAAGATTTTTATAGTTTAAATTTTAGTTGAAAAAATATATTATGTAAAATGTTTTGATTTGAATTTTGACATCACAAAATCAGTCCAGTTACTGTACCTGTATTTGAATACATTTTAACATGATTTTGCCTTCATGTGTAGTAACAGAAATGGTAGATAATAAAACAATTTTCTATTTCATCAAAATTTTATTTGGATAATTTTCTACACTTCTACAATTTTATTTTATTTTTTCAACTCTGTAATGACTTTAGCTGCTAGCCTTAGCTTTATAACCATTACATAAAAAAAAAAAGTATATATCTCAAATATTTTGTTACATTATTTTACTGGTGCTAAAGTTTCACAACTTGTTCTGTCTGCCTTAACCTGAGATTTTGCCAGTTTTAATAATTTTTTATTGTTTTCGTATAAGGTGTAAATAATGTCAAGTTTTGTAAATATACAGAATAAAGAGCTTTTTATTCAAAACACACTTGTATTTTGTTTTGATGTCCCCTTTCTTTACATCCATTAATATCTTTGGCATTTCCTTGGCCTCCTGTTTTAATCTTGTTTAGCGCTGTTCCAAGTCACTTAACAATTTCATAAATTATTCGCTGTTAAAAATATATTTCTGTAACCATGACTGCCCAGGTTTAGACTGACTGAGGACTGTCAAATTTTAATGGAATCCAGTGATCCAGTACTTGGTTAGATTGTGGACTAATGGTTTGGTTACTGGAGTGGAAAATCTGGTCTGATTTATGTTCATGAATGTTGCCAGCTGCCAACTTTTGGGTTAGTGGGCGAAAGCTCTACTCCTGAGCCACACTCATCCTGGCAGGAGAGATGGGAGATAATATTCTAATTTCATGAACACAATGTTAAGTTCATCTGACAACAATGTATGTGAAAAGGATGCATATGGTTTAGTTAACTTAAAATAAACTTGCTCTGTACACTTTCAAACTAATATGTTTATAAAGTGATATTTTTGTTTTATGGTCCGTTTGTTTAGTGCAATAACATTTTTGGCACATTTCTAAAGAAAACCCTTTATCAACCAAATATCAATATTGTCATGTGGATAATCTAAGACATATTTGCCCAGTAACATAACCTAAGACTGACATTACACATCCATGGGTTTCAGAATGATGACAAATTCGGTTTGCTGCCATAGAAATTAACAATTTAACCTAATACAGTAATATCAAAATACATTTAAAAACCCAAGCATTACACATTCATAGTAGTTTTTATTTCATATAGTCAAATCTATATACAACATTTAAAGTTAAAACTGCTGTGGATTTGGTTTCTATTTCTAGCAATAGAAAAGTCCATATTTTCTTTTATCAAAGTCCATATTTTCACAATTGTTAGTGGAGTACATTTTGTCTCTTGGTTCATTTGAAGTCCACACTGAAGTCATAAGCGTCATCTGCGGTGGAGCTGGAGATATTCACGGTGACAGGCTGGACCGGAGCTGGAGGTTCTGCAACTAGAAAAGAAATTATTCTATTATGTTGTATAAACAAGGAGCTAATTAAATCCCTGTTTCTGTTTAAATGCAGGAGAATCGGACATCAGGCACAAAGTCAATCATTTCCTTTTTTTTCTTTAATACAAGTATGTGAGACAGGCCTCTGCTCTGACAATGTTTAACAGCATTTATTCAACAGATTCATGCTGCTTTGTTTTTTTTTTACTTGAAGACACCACTGTTTGTTTGGACACAAATTCAACAATGCAATGTAATGTAAAAGCAGTTTTATGTAGCAACAGGTTTTTTTTTTTTTTTTTTTACATACTTGTTACTTTTTTCTGTGGCCTCTTTACATCCTCTTCATGTAAATCTACTTCCTCCTCCATCTGCAAATAACAACATTTTAAACACTTGTGTAAGACTTTAATACTCAAAGCTCTTTCTTCACAATGATTTCCCAGCGGTTGGATCAGAGTTGGATTAGAAGTCTTCATCAAAACATCAAGACTGAAATTTTGTCCTCATTTCGAATCGCTGGGGTTTAAAAATATTTGAAAAACCATTATCTCTACATAAACAGTTTTACCTCCTCATTCTCCTCATCTTCATCTTCTCCATCCTCTTCAGTTTTTTGTTCACTTTCTGTTACAATGATTTCAGTCACTTTCAGGACCCCCGCTGTTGGTCCTCTGGAAGTAAAACTTATGCTGCTTGCTGGGTTTGGAAACTTCACAGCTAAAAACAAGCCAAAACAAAAATAAAAAAATAAACACATCAAGAACTTATTTTGACACCATCTGGTCACTTAAGTATACCGATTTTGCTTCAACACATTTTTGGTTATTTTCTGTTAATAGTTCTGGGTTAGTCCTGGTCTATGTTTGGATCAGAGTTGGATTATAAGTCTACAAAGTGAATTTCAGACGTTGTTTTGTCCTCATTTCCAAACTGCATTCCTAAAACAAATTCATTGATTTTATTTTATCATTTTAAAATCCAAGAAAAAAGTGACAAACTCTTCCATGTTCCTGGTTTAGTACTTTTTTCTGTTTTTAACAATAGGAAGACTTGTGAGATTGTGGTATTGATCTGAGCTGAAGAGACAAATGTAATTATTTAAATTGTATATTTGCGCCTTATTGTCTGGTCTTCTGATGTTAAGTCTTTAAATGACCTTGGACTCTAATGCTATTGTTTTATAGGTTTGCAATCAAAATCATGAAAACCAATGCATTATTTTTCAATTGGCCTCATATTTCTTCTATTGCCTGTTTTTAACCTTTCAAAGTTTCTTCGTTGCCCATTTGTATTTTCTTGAGGTCCCATCCCTTCTTCATCTCAGCCACAGTCTCCTCAGACACGTACGGAGGGAGGGGGCTCTTCTCTGGAGGTTTGCAGTGATAACTCAACTTCGCGCTGGACAGAAAACAAAAAGTGTGATTTAATAATAAGATTTTTATTTCAGCATTGGGTTCATAGCACACATTAGTGGTTCTCAAACAGTGGGGCACATTATACTAGTTGTGCATAGGTGTAGTCTGGTCAAATTATTATGTTTTATGTGTTAGTTCCATAGACCGTATATATGAATGGACAGGGCTAACGCACTAGCTGCCATGTTCCAATAGGAAGTTCAGACGTGGGCTCTTCTGGCTCCTTCGGACCCTGGCTCCCACTGACTTGCACTGGTCTCTTGTGGTCCCTCTCTCTGTGAGTGCTACTCTGAGTCTCATTATTTTAGTCTTAAAATAATTATTAACCCACTCAACCTGATCCTGAATTTTTCATTTTGCTATATCTTTCCTAAATCAAGATATGAACATACATAATCAAATCTGACCAATCAGATGCTTTCATTTCCCGAGGGTGCTCCCGCTAGCGTTAGCAACAGGTTTGATTGACTAGTCCGTTTCATTGCTAAGTAAGCCCCTTTCCCGTTTTTCGGTGAGAAGGACAGGCACAGCTCTTGTGATTGCTATGATACTCGGTCGGATTTTCAAATATAGAGCCTGGCTCCAAATTCGCTCCTGTAACCGTTCGCATCGGGAACTTCATTGGAGTGGAACTGAACACTATGGGTCACATCACACTCTTGCATAGTCTGGTTTAAACCTGGGTAGGTTAAATTAATAGTCCCTGTATTGTTTTGCTAATGTACTTTTTTGTATTCAGTATTGACCCAAGTTACTCCTAATCAAAGTTAAAATAAGCTCCTAGTTTTAGAGCTTGATTCAGATTTATAATGGTCCAGTTTTAGACCTTTAGTTCTAATCTAGTTCAATCTTTTTAGCCCTGGTTGAGTTCTTCATTGGTCACAATAAAGTCCTAGATAAGTTCTTATTATTGTTAGGTTGGTGTGTGAAGTTGAATCAAATAACAGCACCATTCCATAGAAATTAACATTTTATTTCATTTAAAAAGAAGGATTTGATTCATGTTAATTCTTAAGAACTAAATTACGAGTGAATAGTTTGTGAATCACTGGTCTATTATGTTTGGATCAGAGTTGGATTATAAGTCTTCAAAATGATTTTCAGACTTGAGTTTTGTCCTCATTTCCAAACAGAAGCTTCTCTATAAATGGTCACATAATCATTTATTTAGTGGACACTTAGTACTAACCCGGTCCAGTCAGCCAGGAACACTGATGCTGCCTGCTCTGTGTTGGCCACGCCCCCTTTCTGCAGAAATCCACGTTTTTTGGCGAACATCGTGAGAAACTCCAGAGGGTTTCTGTAATCTGGGACAGTGTACTGTAACATGACCTGAAACAACAAACAAGGCACTAAGAAAAGTCAGACAAGGCAACTTTGAGTTAATATTCATTCTTCAGGCCTGCACGGGTGAAGGCCATTATAGGTAATGGCTAATGAGGGGTGAGTAATACAGCCAAAACATTATAACAATCACACTAAGCATTAGGTTAACCAGTAAGAAGAATGAGTAGGAAATTGACAGTCCAGCTCACAATTCATTTTCAGTATATATATATATATATATATTTTATATGTGTGTGTGCGCGTGCATGTGTATATATTATAAATATAATATATATTTTAAAAGTTTGAAGGCTTGAAAAAGGAATCACAACAGGCTTCAAGGCGAGCCACACTGTAGACTACATACATCTTTTTGGGCATAGAGCTATATTAAAGTGTGTTGTTTGGCACAAAGATAGAAATGGGAGTCACCTGAGTTTTATCACAGTGCTTGAGCAGTGTAGTTGCTGCTTGTAGTTCAGACTCCAGTCCCTCCTCAACTCTCAGAGACCTCAAGGCCAGAGCCGGAGCCGGATTTGAGTCCTCGGCTACGACCCCCGGGCTGTCAATCAAGTTTATGTTTTTCAGGATGTGCACCTCCTGCATTGACCTGTATGGGAAGAAGATGGTCAAAATGGTCATTAGCCATTATAATAATAAAAAAAAAATACTAAAGATGTGTTAAGCATGTTCAGGAAGCATCTAATGAAAAAGGCCTACTGCTATAGCTTGCACTGAGCCCACTGAAGGAGCGGGTGCAGTAGTCCTAAGTGCACTGCTCTCAGAGAGAATATCGACCTAATTAGTGACTGTGTGAAAACAACCTAAGCCTTGCAAAACCCAGATGATGTGGACATTGTGTCCAGGGCTGTCATTTTTGCTCTTGCTAATTTATAGTGTCATAAATCAACTAGCATACCTGCTTCAATATTGTACTTACTTTGTGATGCCTCTCTTCACTCCAGCATTACAGGCCAGAACTCCCTTTACACTGTTGATCACACTGCTCTTTCCCACATTTGGAAAACCTAAGATTGTATACAACAATTCAAAATAAAAAAATTTCACATAAACATCATCAAAACAAACAAATGGTCTCCTTACCCACAAGTCCGACCTTGAGCGCCCCCTCTCTGTTGGAGGCAGTGTAGAAGCTCGTGAGCAGATCTGAGAGACAGTTCTGTCCGAAGCAGGCAGCTCCTCGCGATCTGTCCAACAAACCATTTGAAGGAGTTATCCGGCTTTTCTTCTCCTGCTGAAATAAATACAAAACAAAAACATTTACAATCTAGCTTACAAGATGTTGCTGTAACTAAATAGGCAGGTATTTTAGGTATTATTGTCAATTTTTTATTTACATAAGAAATTTCTAAACTGAATTGTTTATTTTTCTACTAGTGCTACCACTTCTTTGTTTTTAAGATTTGAGATGGAATAAATAATTTTTGACATGACCATTCAAAATGCCTGACATCTTCCATTATTGCAAAAACCTTATGTGACAGCTAGAGCTCAACAGCGGCATCACCATAATGTAAAACTATAACAAATCCAGCAATTATTAAGTGCATCTGTTCACAAGATTCAAGTCAGTCTTGCACACAGCAGAGCAACTTTAAATGAATGCATTGTTTTTTTCTTTTGGAGGTTATAACCAGTTAGAGCAGCACTTAGGAGCCACTTAACCTTCTCAATCCTCCATAGAGTTACATTTTGAAATGTTCTTTACTTTTTTTTTAAACTTACCATAGTTTTGTCTTGAATCTGTGTAGATGCTTTGAATGCCAAGACCGGAAACTCCCTTTGTAAACACTGGAGCCATTTCTCTGCATTATCTTTAGGTACAAGATCTTTAGACACAGAAACAATCATTCAGTAATTTACAAAATTTAGTTCAATACAATTCAATATTAACTCCTCAGTAAGTACTGTATGTATGTAAAGCTGGGGTATACTTTTTTTTTGGTAAATTTCAAAATGAGACTGCTGTAGTGGTATAAACTAGAAGTACAAGAGAATTTTAGATATTTTGCTCTATGCAGGGCATTCTATAGTTTAAATAATTGCAGCCCTTGTGATTTAATAATTGGATGAACTCAAATTGTGACAAACTGTGCTGCCCGAGCATACAGAAACAAAATACTCACCTATTTTATTTAATAGAAAAATTAATTTCTTGTTTTTCTGTAGAACTGTCTCCTCGAGCTGTGGACACCGACAGCCCAGAGGGTCCCGAGCATCCAGCACTTCAATAATGACATCGGACGCATCTATTACCTAAAGTATCAAGATCACATTAACAACACAGAAAAAAATATAACAATACATTTTTAAATAAAGGGAATGTTACCTTATTTAACTCTGAGCAAAGATAATGTTTGGAATTCTTCTCAACTGCTTTCTGTTTTCTTTGAGCTTCATCCTATGAAAAAATAAGGAGAAAGGCATGATATAAAATGATGGATGATTCATGCAACTGTCTATTTTTCCCATCGACTCCAATTAATCAGCATTGGTCACGCTATGAGTGAAAGATTATATTAAAGTGAAGAGATTTAAATTAGAATGCATTTACACTTGCACCTCAAAATTGAGATTTGCAATGAAATGTATCAATTCTATAAATCCCAACTGAAAATCCTTTGCATCTTTCATGGTTCCAAAAAATTTACAACTACTACGACTAACTACTATACATTCATTGGCATAACCATAATATACAAGAGAAACTAAATCTAAATCAGTAGTGATCAAATGTATTTGTTCACAAGCATCACGTCACTCTTGCACACAGCAGTGTGAATTTAAGTGAATGCATTGCTTTTTCTTTTGGAGGTTGTAACCAGTTGGAGCAGCACTTAAGAGCAACTTAACTTTCTCAATCCTCCATACATCTGCATTGGTTCACATTTAAATTAGAATGTGTTTACACTTGCACATCAAAATTGGGACTAAACTGGGACTAGACCAAGAACCAAATCAATACCCAAGTGTGAACAGACCCTTCAGTCACATTTTTTGGTTTGGTAAAAAATCTTCATCCACCCCTAGCTGCATGTGTGTGGTTTCACTCATCTACTTCCCTCTACACTCCATCCAAAAACATGAATTTACAGCAGCATACATTTTTACCAGTGAGAATCAAACCTATAACCTTATGATCGATGAGTTAGATGAAATAATGAGATAAAATATGTTTTCCTCCAGACCAATGACTATTCTCCAAATACATACACTTCAAACAACATTATTTCAGTCCTTTGAAACAAGACACAGTTGTGAGTTTACCTTTCGAGCCTTCTTGGCTTTGGGCTCTGCTTCTTTTGTTGACCCCTCTTTCTCCTTCTTCCGCTTCTGGGCTCGCTCCTCTTTTTTGGCTTGTTTTCTTTTCTCCTTCTCTTCTTCAATCTGACATTTTAAAAGAAAACAAAAAGCAATTATGTTAAATTTTCAACATAATAATTACAAGATGAGAGAAACAAAAACAAATTCAAAACGATGTTGAATATTGCAACATTGTTTCAATAGTTTAAGTTCAAATAACCTAAAAAAAATTAAACAGAGTATACCAGTTTAATCTATTTTTTAAAGATAACAATTCAAGTTTGATTCAGTGAATAAGATTAAATGTACATATAGACAAAACAATATTATAATAGTCTACAATAGAATAATATTCTAACTCACATAATATTTTCATTTTAGTTTATGCAATGAAAAAAAAATTCTATACATCTTTGTTTGAAGGCAAGACAGTTATTATTGCTACTATTAAGGTACTTTTATGGACAGTGACAGCCTTAGGTAAGATTGAAAATTCAACGTATTTGTATAGGTCGGTTTACCTGTAGTCTCCGTTGCTCAGCCTCCCTCAGCACCTCCTCTTTGAAGGGGGCGCTGCTTGGGACCCCAAGATCCTTTTTAGGGCGTTTAGTGATTCCTTTCTTTTTTGCTTCTTTTCTGAGTTTTCTGTTGTGTTCCCGAACCTGAAGAGTTAATATGAAAGTGTGACTAAAAGTTTGTCGTACTTGATCATTATTTAAATTACAATTATTGGCTCATTTGTATGCCAGATGCCCTTGATGTTGCAACCAGTTGTATTGTTGGTGAAGTGTCTTGACCAACGACAGCAAGATAGTGTGGGGAAACACTCAAACACTGCCCAACGTCAGTTCATAATTTATCAAAGTATACTAAAAACATTACTACTATATCTATATTGATTATAAAGGTATTAGTTGAGTTGATTCGAAACTGTAAATGTAACTGAATGAAAGCTATAAGGAGAATAATTTACTCAAGACATGTGGGGCAAAATTCCCGTGGGAAAAGGCATGTGCCGACTTTGTTACAAACTACCATAAGAGTGTAGTCGTGTTGTTTTCTTTACAAATGTTCAGTAAACCAGAAACCTAACTGTAAAGGATATTAAGTGTTATCCAATGCAGCTTAGTTTTGAAGTAAATTGAAATGCAAATTGCTATTGTCAAAACCACAACAAAGCTTTTCACCTTTTTCTGAATCTTGTAACGTTTGGCACAAGACACCCTTTTGCTCGCTTTTCTTAACTCTGAAATAAAAACAAAAACAACATTTTATCAATGAGTTTGCACAATGCTAAACGTATGCTAGCACTGCATGAACAGGGGTTAGAGACCAAAATCAGCTAACAACTCACATTTCATCAATTATAAAGTACATATCTACATGTTTTTAGTTAGGTATAGTGTATAAATGTAGAATTATAAAGATTACTCACTCGGTCGCTTCATATTTTAGCCGTAGATCCGAAACGTGCAGGAGTTGTCTGACACACACGTGGGGCAGTAAGGATGAACGAACGAGGCGTGTGTTGGGACAGGCTGCTACTGCGCCACGTGTGGACTGGGGGTAAAGTGTTTTTAAAAGAAATTTAAAATAAAAAAGAAATGACGTTACAAGAAAGTCTACCGTTAACAAAAATAAAACATAGAAATGCATATTTGTATCACAATGATTTTGCCAACAGTTATACTGCAACATTATATTGGGCTTTATAATAACATATTTTTATTTGTTTTATTTTTATTTCAGAATAAATACAGACTAAAACTGTGCCAAAACTATGTAGAAATGCAGTTATTTTATATTTGTGGAAAAAGTATAGTTTCCCATTATTTATTGAGACTATGGTAGCACAAGTAATCAATATTGGAATATTTCATTTAATACAATTTTTGGTCAACATTTCTGACAGTGTCAGTTAAGCCCCCCACTGTATGTCTTTATACAGTCTATGGCTAAGTCTCTAATTACAAGACACTTCAGATTACAGGGTAAATTTTAGATAGTTCCTTCTACATAATTATGATAATACAACAAAATGTATAATTTGGTTTACCAGCGGTTTGTTCATCTCGTTTTTAAACTACGATGGCAAAAAATAGACTAGCAGGGCCCATCTAGTCAACTTTATGAATGATAAACCCTAGATAAAGCATTCTTAAAAGAGTACAATGTTTAATAACCTCATTTGGGACATGCGCAGGGGAAACAAATGCAGAGGAAGCCCGTCACGTGACTTGGGTAGAGCATCCTTTTGGCCCTTTCTGGATGATAGCGCGACGGCTCCGTTCTACCCGAATAAACATGACCAAATTGCAGTTTTTAAACGTGTTTTTGACCGAGCGCCTAATGCTCGCAGCACAGGAGATCTACAAGTCTGTGGAAGACACCATTTTGGAGTATCAGGAGGAGATCGCGATCAGAGAGAGAGAGAACGATCATCTGAGGCGCAGGCTTCGGGACGCGGGCATCGAGATATGGCCAGGTGCTAATGCTAACATGCTAAAGAGGATCTTGTAATATTTTCTCTTTTTACGTGAGAGTGTTTCTGTAGTAAAGACGTACAGTAACACTGGGAAGAGTCTAAGCATCGTGCAAACTAAGCATCATCTTGAAATTAGTGTTAAATCAAATCGCTGACTGTAATGTTGGCGTTTTAAGGAGGCTAGCGCGTTAGCAACCTTTGTTCGTAAGCTAACTAGCTTTGACTTGAGATAGCGGCTCTGTGGGAGTCCTCCTACATGGATTTTGACCGAAGAGCGAGATCAAAATGCAGCTGCTGCTAGAGTCACGTTTAGTGACATGTCATTTCTATTGAAATACAAAATAATGTCAATTAGGATTATTATATCCCCGCTTTAACATGATTTGTGGTGTATGGAAAAAATAAGGTAGGTGAGGCAGTTAGGCCTCAGATAATCAGTACAAATCTGCCTAAATCGCAATTTAATTAAATGTTAAACATTGTTTTGGCATTGTCAGTGTTTGTTGTTTAAAGACGTATTATGTTGACCACACATTTTTATGTCCTAACGTCCAGATTTAAACGCATCAAAATTTGTAGGCCTGAAGTAAGGTTCTTCTTAAACTGCATTTGTATATGTAGTCTATAGTACTGGACATTATATTAACCAGACATGTCATTGTTAAAATAATAATATCAAACAAATCAATTTAAACTATAATTGCCCTTAGTTTATTACATGCAATTGCATTACTTTGACAGTCATATTGAGACGAATGTTATGATTATAATTGTTAGCAAAATGTTTACCCTGTTCGCTTTGAGAGATTTCCTGATGATAGAGTAGACTATATTGCTAATGCATTGTTCTATGTATTTTATCTGTAATATGTACTCATGGCCTTCCGTATTGTCCAATTGTATTTTCAGACCGTCCTTCTATGGGTCTATTGGATGATGAAGACGGAGAGCACCCACGTCGTGAGTGGAGTCCAAGCATGGGTCATGAGGAGCGCATCCCGATTCAGATCAAGGACAAACGTGACCACCGCCAAAACCAAGGCCCTGATCCCCACCCGCACCCACACAACCAACATGGCTCCTCCTGCAGTGCCTCCGAGAACCTCTATCCTCCTCAGCGCTCTGACTATCCACAAGAGGCGCCTCACTCTTCCAATCTGCAGCAGGGAGTCGAGAATAGAGAGCGAGATGTGCCTAGTAGAAATCCAGTCCGCAAAATTGAGCCGAATTCTAACCCCAACCCTCAGCCTCTTGCGCCCGTCAACCCAAATTGCTCCAACAACGAAAACATTGACATTATAGGTGTTGATAATGGAGGCGGGATGGTGAAGGGTAGAGCCACTAGGGGGCAGTCTTCTCATATGAGTAACCAAGCCGCGGCTAGCAACAATGTGGAATGCCCGCACCAGAAGTCGCCAATCCCGGGACATATGTCATCATTCTGTTGTAAAGTTTGCGGGGAGGCGTTTAGTCACATGGGCCATCTGCACGTGCATGTTCAGGTCCACACACGTGAGAAGCCGTACCGATGCGGCGTTTGTGGTAAGTGTTGTAGCTCGTCTGGTAGGTTACAGGAGCATCAGCGTAGCCACACGGGAGAAAAGCCGTTTAGATGTCAGATTTGCGGAAAAGGTTTTACACAAATGGCTCATCTCAAAGTGCACATGAGAATTCACACCGGAGAAAAACCTTACAGCTGTCCAGTCTGCGGAAAGTGCTTCAGCCGCTCAGACAAAATCAAACGCCATCTCCAAACCCACAACCGCGACGGGCAGTACTTCTCAGGTCAATAAGGGAGTAAATACTGTAGAACTCCATTCACACATAGATCCCAGTAAATCTCCGGGTACAGAATGGCTACAGTGACCCCCATTCACACATGCACCAGTCCCAAAACATTGGTGCTCTGCTCTTTTCACACATAACTTGCGTTTTGCTTGGCTTTCTGTCTCATAGCAAAACTCTGCTGCATTATTTAAATTGAATGAGGAGGGAAACTAAAGGGAAACCAGGAAACTAAAATGGTAACTAAAGTGATCAAGCTGGTAATTAACAATAACCAAGCAGTGATACTGGCTATTTTATGGCTTTATTCAAACACATAAGCCTTCCCTGCATATGCCCAGTAATTTACCTGGGAAATTGCCAGATCAGAAATACAGGGAAGTCTGTTCTGGCTTTGTTCACACATGACCCTGCTCTGGCAAAATGCAGGAAAATTCCCGTGTCAGACTGCATGTGTGAATGGGGGTCTAGTCTTACTTCACTTCCCTAACCCGTGTGTTCTTTCTGTGACATTTTTTTTTTACAGTAGGAAGCAACCTTTTTAACGAGTTATGAGAAATGGCTTGCTAAAAGGTTCCTACAGTGTAAAATGTCTTTAAATGCGCAATCTCTGCCATTAGGAGAAATAGGGCTGGGTGACATGGTACAATTTGTGTTTTTAGCTTTAGATTTGACAAGGGAAATCCCACTTATATTGATCATGTCTGTGTTGTTGAGTCAAGTAATTAAAATGTATAAAAGCTTGGATTTATAATGTGCTGTACAAACTTGACAAGCTTACCAAAGCGCTACGTTGGCTGTTGTTAAATTAACTTTCCACACACAAAGTACAAGTTTTCTGTGATAGGAGAAAGTATTCAAAGAAACCGTATTTCTTTCGGGGACTCTGGTTTCCCCTATGAACCTACAATATGTCACTCTTGACAATAAACCTAGTTTTTAGCAGTTTAACCCCAGCTGTATTTAACAATGATCCAAATGCAGAGGACACAACAGTCTACCTTCTTCATACAATAACTTAAAATTGTTAGATGACTGGTGGTCTATATTATCTAAGCTGACTGACATTTTGCAACAGGTTTCTATCTAGTATCAGAAATAAAAGATACAGAAAAAAAGGTTATTTAATCACTTAAAAATATTATGAATTTTACAAATCCAGTGCTTCTACTGTTGTCAAGTTGGTGATAGTGCAAACCAAGCAGTCAAAATAGCTGTAAAGCCTTTTCCAATTATGTTTAAAGTGAAATGTTGAAACTGATCAGATGTCTCCTAGCCCTATTGCAGTCTTCGTAGGCCCTTATAGCCGTTTTATTTTTTTCTATTTTATACGTTTTTAACTTTTTTTTTTTTTTTTTTTAATCAGTGGCACACTCTGATACAATAACTACTTTTCAATTAGTCTTCCACGTTATTTTTGTCACTTTACACGATAATGACTCCAACAGTGTTTAGCATCACAGTGTGTATCTTATATCTCTTTGTTTCTCTATTTTTAATTTTAGATTCACAGTTTAGCTACATTTTAGATGATATTTGCATGGATTAAGTGTAAAATTGATGGATGGACATAGTTGCCAGTTTCTATGTAGATAACTTGTCATTATTTTGTTACAAGACATTCTGGCACTGGTCACAAATGTATTCTATTTTTAGATTTATTGTATAACTATTACATTACATTGTCTTACTTCTTACAATAAAATGTCTGTATGTCAAATATGTCTTGAGTTTTTAGTGTCAGAAAAGTTAACTCCAATTCTTGCGATCCTGATTCGATTTATAATTTTGATTCAATGGCGTTGAGTACGAGGAGTATCCATAAGTTTTGTTTAAGATCTGTGGCTTTGCAGAATTGGCCAAGTAACAGTTGATGTGAAAATGGTTCTAAACAAGGAAGTCAAAAACCTTTCCGAGTTTTGTGCCAAATTTTGAGAGTTTTGGTTATTCCAAATTCTTCCCAACCCTGATATTTAAAAAATTATCCATGTTTTGTTAACTGTCAAGCATTTAATCTTCGATTGAAAAACATTGCTACAAAAGACTAACACATTTATGCAAAATCCGTAACAAATTGTTCTAGATACAGTTACCATTGTAACTTTTTTTTTTTTTTTCTGACAACTTTGGTTCATTTTCGGGAACATTTCTCTAACCACATAACCTTCATTGGACCAACAGGCTTTTATGCACATGGTTTAGAGTTTGACCATATACAGTCTATGAGTCGGGCATAATCACAAATGACTTAAACTGTATAGTGTCAAATTTTATGTCACTAAAAACTACACATTTCATAATAGAACAGTTTAAAAAGTAGAAGTAATTAAAAGTTTTTAATTGTTATAATGATGTCCAATTTGCCAAAAACATGGACTAGAGGAAAATTAAGTTATTAGCTGGGCAATCTAAATGTCAAATATATCATCCAGTCCGTATCTCATTATGTCTTCTCAGGGGCAGTGTGTGATTCCAGCTCATGTAAAAAAAAACACTTCAGACTGCAGAGTTGGGGTTATTGGGGATATTATTGCCTTGTTTTTGTTTTCACTTGCCTTTTTTTTTTTTTACAATCTATAAATCAAATATGTGGTGAAGACAACCTCTTTCTCTCACTATCTGAAAAGTGTTAATGTGTAAACATGTGGAATAAATGTATTTTTAATAAAGTAGGTATCCAAGATTCATTGTCGGTGTGTCTTTTTCATAATTTTAACAAGCACATTTCATAAAATATTCTGTTATGAGTAGCATTAAGTATTTAAATGGCATTGCTTGCCCACCCACTTGAGTATCTAACGTAGTACTTTCCTACCATAAATTCTAAACTCTAGTGTTAGGGAAGTCTTTGCTGCCCCCTAGAGTATAATAAAATCTTATGTACTACCAGATTAACCACAAGGGGTCGGCCTTAGATCAACCTACATAACACTGTGGGAGTCAGTCGTAATAGTAATAGTCTACAGTCGTTCTCTAAACATTTTCAGACTACCCCCAAATCCAAAACTTTATCTGGTTTACATATGGGGGCCATGCATTAATTAAACCATCTATTTAAAAAAATAATAATAATAATTGAGAAACACTGATCTACTTACTTACATTTTTTTTTTTTTAGAAATCTCCTCAAATGTATTCAGAACAATATACATTTATACATTAAAAACTAAAACAAACCTAGTATATTTAGTCCTATAGGCTCTACAGGCCTAAATATACCAGCCCTCGTCAATAATAGTTATAATCTACATAAGAGGTTATCACTACCATTTAGTATGTTTGTAAATATGTAAAATCATATATTTTTAAAATCTTGTGGGGGTTTTTTTTGTTAGAATTTACATAATTCTCAGTAATGTGTGCATCCTAAGTAAAAACGTGTGTTCTTTTAGCAGAGCAGCTTGATTGTGCTTGATGTTTGATTAGAATATGCAAATGTACAGTGAGGAGCATTTGGTGAGAGTCTGGCTGGAGCAGAGGAGTGGGGAAAGACCTCACTCGTTTCCATGTGAGCAGGTTTGTAATGAGGCTAATGAAGACTGCATCTTATGTTTGATCAGGAGTCTCCCTCTGTACGCCTGAGTCCAGCCACAACCAAGTCTTGCGTGAAAACAGTCCAAAACCAGATCCAAAACAGGACCTGAACGGATCTGTCTGCTGCTTATGTGTTCAAAGGATGACAGCACTGGACAGGGCTGAAGCCAGGAAAGAAATATGCAAGAGTTTTTTTCACTGAACTGGAAATACAGGGCTAGTCTTGGAGATGTTATTATGAAGAGATCTAATGTTATGCTCAGTGTATAGTCAGTCCTGCTGTCGTTGTAATGCTTTTTAGGATGGCTCTTGCATAGGCTCCACCACATAAAAGTCAACTGGGACTAAACCAGGAACTACAGGTCTACATCAGGGCTAAAATGGTCTCAAAAGAACATCTCAAAACAGAACTCATAATAGTTGCTGAGTAATAGCATAATAGCTGAGTTCCAGTTACATCATGTTTTGATCTGGTTTAGGTTTAAAGTGTCTGTAATTACTGGCATATCCACATGAAAAAAATTACATAAAGTTCAATGTTTTTATTTTCTGTTGGTATAAATTCACTTGCTATGTTCTAACTTTTTGTAATGAGTGGTAGGATTATTCAAACAGGTATTCTTGTCACCTGAGGTTCAAAAGAATAATATGACAACTTTGTCGAGCATTTGAATGTTGAACACAAGTAGCCTATACATGTGTTTGGGTATGTTTTTCTAAACAGTGAAATGTCCATAGAGCTGTTTGTCTAGAATGTTGTGAACACAGCCTATTGGTAATGTGCTGTTCGACCTAAAGTCCCAGTGTCACTAATTAGCTAAAGAACTGACTAAAATAAAAACATGCATTTTTATTATAGATGGAGTACCTCCACCTGCTTGTTTCAAAGGAAAACAGTAAAACAGATCTATCTCACCAGGGAATGTTTGGAAATACTGTATGTTTTAATTCATTCCCATGGAATCATGTGGGTGATGTGCCCTTCCTGAAAGTTACAGAGTGTTGCTTTAGCTGGCCAGCAGAAGAGTGGCAGACATATCTGTGGGTTTGGCCATGGGACAGAGGATCTTTGGGCTCGTGTGTCTTAAGGTGTCATCTCTGCTCATATTTCATAGAGTCTGCAGTCATCCTTCAAAGGGACAGAGACAGAGTGTGGAGAGAGGAGACAGAGCAGGGGGCACCATCAATGTCACCAACAAACTGTAAGGAACTGGTTAGATCAGTGTGTAGATCAGTGTGTAGTAACAGTAACTAGGCATAGACATTTGACTGCAGATAATTCAGCTTTCTACAAATGTTATATAGTTATCAAAATCATACTTTACTTTTATGTATTAAATTGCATTTAAATAAATGCAATATAAAGCATATAAACAATAGCAGAAAGTATATAGTCAAGGTTGAAAGTTTTAAAAAGTAGATTTTTCATATCATTAGACACTAGATATGCTGTTAACTGAATCGTTCCTGCATGTTTGAGAAATCCTGTTCAATGCTTAGAAAATTTCTGTTTGCCCCTATCCTCACCCACTCTGTATTGTCTTGCAGTTCTTCAAAAAAGGTATGCACAAATATAAAAAAAATGTGCAGCCATTAAAAAAAAAAGAAAGAAAAAGAAAGAAAGAAAATTTGATGCATGTTTATTACAGTGAATGTAATGTCTTTATGATGAAGCAAGACAGCTTCATCATAATGACATTTCAAAGAGGAAGTGAATGGACCTGTTATTATTATTAAGTTGATTTTGACCAACATTACAGTTTACAATGAACAACATGTTAAATTATAATAATATATGTATGTCACCCTTTATCATTAAATACCAGAAAACATATAACAGGCCTTATAATTAGGACTCTGATACAGTATTTGCATAGTAACAGATGGGGCCAGGTTTAGTCCGGTCTCAGGTCTAGTTCATGGACTCTAAAGGACACAGAGTCGTCAGCAGATTTACACAGTGCTACAATTACACACAGAGGCTCATGGATTAGGCTGTACAGATAGGGTTTATTTCCTGGAGGCAAAACCTCAACATGCGACACAGGACACTCATATCTTAATCCACAGAGAAAGGATTTTTCATCCAACAAATAATTGTAAAAAATCTACTGTGTATGTCCTTCTAAGTGCAGAGGGCACTGTTGTCTTTAGATGAGAGGTGATTTTTACATGTAATTTTAAATCATTTTGAATTCATTATGGAGTCAGAGTTAGCAGGACATGTTCCCTTTCTGCTCTAATTACAAAAAATATGAAAACATTTAAATAAAATGAAGCAGTTGTGTTAGTACGCCCACACCATGTGATACTGAGGAGTTCAAGTGAAAGTGAGGATTCTGAACACACTGGTCCAACAGGAAGCACAGAGAAACTGAAAGTGTTCAGACAACAGAGTGTGTCGGGACTCAACAGAACAGAGCTGATTTAGCGTCCGCTATGGGGGATCACTCTGAGGAAAATGGCAGTGTCTGAACTGAAAGACTTTCTGAACTGTCCAGTGTGTCTGGACACTTTCACTGAGCCTGTGTCGCTGAGCTGTCACCACAGCTTCTGCTAGCTGCCTCAAGGACTGCTGGGAAAAGAACCAGAACAAGTGCTGTCCCGTCTGCCGCAGGAAGTCCTCCAAAGATGATCTGGACAAAAACTTTTCTCTGAGAGAGCTGAGTCTGGCCTTCAGACAGAGGCAGAGGTCTCAGGAGCAGTGGATGTGCAGTGTTCATCCAGAGGTACCTGGTTTGTTTTGTAAAGAAGAGTCTCGACTGCTCTGTCCTGTGTGTGAGTTCTCTCTGCACACACAGCACCAGGTGGTGTCTGCAGAAGAGGCTGAGAGGGAGCTGAAGGAGAAGCTCACATCACACATACAAACTCTAAAAGACCAGAGACAGAGCTGTGAAGAACAGAAGAAGACCTATGAGCAACTGCAGCAGCACGCAGAGGACCAGGCTGTGGTCTGCACACGTCACATCAGAGCTGTGTTTGAGGAGCTACATGAGTTCCTCAAACAGGAGCAGGAAAGAGCATTGGCCGTGCTGAAGGGGGAACAGCTCAGACAGAGCCACAGTCTGAACTCAGCTCTGCAGAGTGTCAGGGACAGACTGTCCTCTTTAAGCACCAGTATCCAGCTAGAGTTGCGAGCACACACAGACACATGGACTTTTCTCAAATCTGCAACTGAAACCTACAACAAAGATCCAAACATCACAGCAGAGCCCCCATGGCCCAAAGAGGGACTCCTCAACCAGGTCAAAATCCTGGGCAACCTGGGCTTCAGAGTGTGGAGGAAGATGAGGAGTGTGGTCCATTACAACCCTGTGATTCTAGACCCCAATACTGTAGGGGAAAGTGTGTTTCTGTGTGAGGGTCTGAGCAGTGTGAGACATGGAGGGATGGACTATCGTGTGGTCCCTGATAATCCACAGAGGTTCACTAACAGCCCCAGTGTTCTGGGCTCTGAAGGCTTCAGCTCTGGGACTCACCAGTGGGACGTGGAGGTGGGGGACTATAAGGACTGGGTTGCAGGAGTGGCCAAAGAGTCAGTTCAGAGAAAAGATCAGCTCTATGCTACGCCTGAATGTGGAATTTGGTGTTTAAAACACAAAGAGGGTAAATACACAAACGGGTGTCGCAACCCAGTCAAAGTGAGGAGGGCTCCAGGGGAGATCCAGGTCAGACTGGACTATGACGGGGGACAGGTGTCCTTCTATGATGCTCATCACATAACACACTTGTACACTTACAAGCATGCATTTACCGAGACATTGTTTCCGTTTTTCTCAGTTGGACCAGCAGGTGAAGCTAAAACCAAAGAGCTTCGGATATGTGAGGCTCAGAATGAGAATGTAAGCCCACCTTTCTCTGAATGTTCACAGGAAAAAGGACAATAACTAAAAACAGACTGTTAAAGAGACACGGAGCCACCCTCATGTTACTGCATCAAAGTCACATCTGGCTGCTTCCTTTTTTATTATACTGTTTTATGTTTTTGTTTAGATTTTTTTTAAACTACAGTTTCAATGCCAGTATGCCAGGGTACCTTGATTCAAACCAGCTAGTTATTAGGTAAATTCTTGATTAATTTACCTAATAACTAGCAGGTAACCTGCACACAACAAGTGACATTTACATTAGATTGATATCATTAACTAC